CAGGAGTAATTCTTCAGTACTCAGGCAGCATGCGCCTAGGATTCCCTTCCCTAGGTGCCCGGTAAGTACTGCCCTTGGGGCTTGGGGCCACCTTCCACAAGTTCCTTGGGTTCTGCCTCTGCTTGGCAGTTTACTGCTCAGTTTTCGGCCGCCCTTTGTGTGCTAGGGTGTTCTGACTCCCTTGTTCGCCTTAGGGTAGGGAGCAGTTTGCACTGGTAAGGGGCGCAGAGTACTGCGCAGCTTGTTTTCAGCAATCATAGCGGCTGGCTCTGTTCCACCTGGGTACGCTATCCTCTTGCGGGGTTTTCTTTTTTCTTTTTGTTGCTTGCCTGGTGGGGGGGGGGGGGGTGGTCTGCCTTGGTTATTGCCCCCTGTGTACTGAGTACTCTTCTCTATTTCGGTGGTACCCCCTACTTGGTCCCCGTGAGTGTACATGTCCCGCAGGTTCAGTTCTTATAAAGTTGTTTGGTAGACTTGGGCGCCGGTTAGCAGTACCCTGCCTGGACTTCCCTGAGTGTGAGTTCCGTCTCAGGATCCTGGGAATCCCCATGGGGCCTGTGGATCTGATGGATGTGACCCCTGAGTCCCCCCCTCGCTTTGTGTGAGTTTGAGAGTTGCTCTGTCCCTTTGTCTCGGGGTGACTCTCACTGTTTTTGCCTCCGTCTGCTGCCTGTTGGGTCGGTGGCACCTTTAACCCAGAGTCCTGCGAGTTTTGTTGCTTGTTTGTGACTCAGTTACCCAGTCCTATGCTGACTATACGGGTGCAGGCAGCACAAGCATTGCACGTTGGGTTCAGGTGGTTGCAACGCACTAGGTTGTTTGCTCCCCGGAAGCCCTGAGGCTACCCCGTTTTGGTTGATGTGACCGTGGCTTGGGGGTGTTGGTCGCTTCGGTTTTGTTTCCGTCCGCGCCCCCTTGTCTTTCCCCTGTTGTGATTTAGTCTGGTCGCCCCTCTTCCTCCCTGCATCCGGATCCGCACTGTCTGTGGGTTCGGGATCGGGGAAGGGGTTTCGATGGTCTTAGACTCGGGCGGTCTCAAGGATTTTCCCTTCCGGGGTAGCGATGGAGGCATTCGAGCCTGTTCTTCCAGTCGTGATGTATGGGTCTGCCAGTGGGCTCCTTTCGTAAGTATTTCTCCGGCTGCTCCGTCTTTTTCTTGTGAGGCTGGGGCTTTGGGGGGACGGCTCAGCCCTGGGTCCTGCGTGGAGGTTCCCGGAGCTGGGGAGGGGTTGACTTGGGGACCCTGGGCCCTGTTGAACCATGCCAGGGTTTTTCTACCTTCTGAGTGGGGCTTGCGGTTACGGGGAGTGGGGTGTTTCCTTTCTCCCCCTCTGCATACGAGTTGTTCGGTGTCAGACCCTCCCCGGGTTCGGTTCGTTGTCCCTTCAAGTCTGTCGGTTCCGTCCTGTCGGTCGGTACTCTTCTCCGTTTTCTCACCCTTCTTCTCTGGGACATGAATTCTCTGTCATGTTGAAGTCGTGTTCCCCTCATATCAGGGTCCTGCATGACCTTTGGTCTCGGGTGCAACTCGGCCTTTATGAGCCTTCGTGATTTTGTGCTTGCTTCTGTAGGATCTCGAAGGTTCGGGAAGGTCTTCGATACTTTCTGTATTATTGGAACGTTTGTCGTCTTCCGGTGAGGCTTACCTCCATTCCTTTTTTGGACTCGTTGGTCCTCTTCTGTGCTTCTTCTTGGTTTTCGGTACTATCTCATTCTTTTGTACTGTAATTATATTCTCTCCGTGCTCTGTCTCAGCATTGATAATATTCCTTAAATACTCCTAGTTGGCGCCCTCCCCACTGGGTGGGTTGTGCAGTTCGGACCTCATGAGTCCTGTGCATGTGCCGTGGGAGTTTGTTTTGTTTATGGACGGTGTACACAAGTGTTGGTGTTCCGCATGTTTTTTCTCTCGCGTGATTCCCCCGCTCTCGCTCCTCTTCTCTCTTCAGTCTAAGCCCCGTAGATACTAGGGGTGTTCTGGATTACAAATACGTGGAGGATGCCTAGTTCTTTCCTCAGCATATGCGGGAGTGTGGCGTCGCATCCGCCTCTACCCTACTCTTCTCCTGCACATGCAGCTTTAGCCTTCTTGCACTAGCGATTCTCCCGGAACATTCTCGGCTACAATGTGTTGTGACATGATAGTGCCTACGCTCTGCAGGTGAGCTTATGCGGTCTGGCGAGACGCCAGACCGCATAAGCTCATCTGCTGATGCTTTCAAACCAGCACCTTTCGGCCAGGTGCTGGTTTGTGGTTTTTGGATGAGTGTTAGGGATTGCTTGTGGCGTTTTGTTTGGCCATTTGCATGCTTCTTCCCGTGACCTTCCTTGTCCGTCTGTGTTATTTGTTACATGGTGGGGCACGGTCCCATCTTTCGAGTTCTTTCTTCAGTCTTTCCGTGCCTGGGTCTTTTCTTGCCTCATGACACTCATTCCTTGACCGTCGTACAGTGCCTGGCTGAGCCCTTCCATATACATTGGATTCTCTGTGTGTAGTAGGTTTTGTCCATTTCCTTCCCGATTGCTGCCTGTCTTCTTCTTTCCTCATATTGCTCCTACACTCTTGTCTCTAGCTGCTGGTGCTTGGATTGTCTTTCTGGTCTTTTTCTTGCATTTTTCCATTTTTCTAAATTCTCTACTACACATTGTTGTGTGTTTTCGTATGTGCTTCTTGGCTCTACTAATGTTCGTGCTAGGTTGGACTTTGTCCATGTTCAGTTCTTTGCTTTTGCACTGCCCCTGTGTTGGGTTATGGTCCTGAGTTTTCATCTTCTCCTAGTTTGGCACTTCCAGCTTCTGGATTGCCCTGTATGCTGGTGGATGTGGCTTCGGTTCCTCCTCTCCTGCCCCTACAGTTTCTTTCCGTTGGGCCGGGAGGTGCTAGGTTTGAGGCCCTGGCTCCGGCATTTTTCTATGTGTTCACTTTCGAGCGGTGCATTTTTGTTTTCGTGCTGTTCACGTCCTGATTAGTTCTTCTCATACCTTCCTCGGCATCGCGTGCTTCGTTCTGCCCTGCTGGGACTGCGTTCGCCGCTCTGGCGGGAAGTGGCGTTCCTGTTTTTGCTTTGCATTTCGGCTCGCGGTGCTCACTTCCTCGTTGGCCTCGACCTGGGCCCTGGCTTTTCGTTGCAATTTTGTCCTTGCTGTTTGCGGCATCTGCGGTTTGGCGTTTTTCTGCTGGCGTCCTCTAATTGTCATCCGTTGTCAGACTTGTTGGTCCTTCTGGGGTCCCAGGACAGGACGTGTCTGCTCACCCGGGTTGGTTCTTTCCCGGCTTGCTGGGTTTGGGTTCCTGGTTTCCTGGTTTTATCTACCAGTTGGCGCATTCCTGATCTCGCTGTGTCACTTCTTACGAGTCTTGCTTTGGAACCACAGTGTCTCCGATCACCTGACGAGCTCGCTAGCATTGGGAAGTTTGCTGTACGGCAGACATTCCATCTGGTTCCTTGCCGGCTTGGGTTTCCGGCTCTGCTTACTCGGTGTTCGCACCCAAGGTTTTCCCGCGGCTCCGCTTCTTCCCATGCTCAGTTAGTCCATGCCAGGCCTTCGGTTCTGCCTCTCGCCTCTCACCATCTGTTGGTGTTCAGGTGGTTTCGTTGATGGTGTCCCACCTGCATGCTTCGTCTCCGCAGCAGTGTGGGGTTTTTGGCGGGTCTTCCTTTTTCTTTTTGTCCCTTCGTAGGTTTGCTGCGTTTTGTTGGCGTGGTCTTGTCCTTCTCTTGTGGAGAGTTCCGGACCATCATCTTGTCACATACTGTACTGTCACCTTGTCTCGTGCGGTGCTGACGGAGCTGCTCTGGGTTGCTTCAGTTTTGGTGTTCCCTCTGCATCAATTCGCGAGATGTCTCTGGCGTAGTTCACCTCCAGCCTATTCTTGCACCTCTTGAGCTGTCCGGGTTCTTGGATTGGGTGCTCTTTTTCTCTTCTCCTCGGTTTGTTGTGGCCCTTTCGGATTGTTTTCTGAGGCTCTTTTCTTGTTGGTGTTGGCTTCTGGGGGGTTGGGTCGGGGTGCTTCATGCTCTCCTCTGGCACCAGGGTTCTGCTCTTTTAGTTCTCTTGATAGGTTTGTTTGCTTGCAGCCATCTCTTTTTCTGGCAAAGACTGACACGGCTGCTTTCCGGAGGGGTCCTTGGCTTGTTGATGCTTGGTTGGTCAGGCCAGGGGTGCATCATGTGTTTTGTTCGGTTGCGGCGCTTCGCCGTTCTTTGTGTACCACGGCTGCCGAGACTCGGGTCATGCTTTGGGTTGCTCCGGTTTCTCTTCTTCCCTGTTCCAGGGTGCGGTTCTCTTGGGTCGTCCACGGGGTGGTTCGGTCCAGCCAGCCTGCAGTCTTTCCAACTGCCCACAACGTTCATAGGTTGGCTATGTGTTCCTTCGTTGGTGTTCCTGGGCCTTGTCAGGCCGATGTGGCCCTGGGTTGGCGATTGCAGCCTTTTGTCTCCGCTTCGCGTTGGGGAGCGAGCGACGACCATCTCCCGGGTTAGGTCTCCCTTGTTTTCGTCTTTTGGTAGGTAGCTCTGGGGAGCCGACGGGGCTCCCCCCAGAAAACCAGAATTGAATGTAATGAAATGCCATTTTCTGGGTGAGACCCGGAGGCTCCCCAGCAACCCTTTCTCCCTCCGATCAGCGTTTTTTCGCGTGTTTTGATATCCAGCCTCAGAACTGGGGTCTTAGGTAGCTGGCACGAGGAGTCTGGAGCTCCCCCTTCCCCCTTCCTGGGAGGGAGGAGCTGCGCAGACAGCGGCGTGGCGACATGGTGACGTCATGCTCGTTAACTCGATTTTATTTTGGGAGTTCTGTCCACTAGTTCGGCTCTCAGTAGCAATTTCTTAACCAGAATATGGGTATGTTTCGGGATGCTTACCTTTCTGGGTACCTGACCAGGTCGATGGCAGACATAGAATGCTTCCAACCACATGGGAGTTTCTACTGGCCATTGCTCCTCGTGCCTCTCTGAGAGGACCAGGTTCTGGTTCGTGGTCCCTAGTAGGGCCTAAAGAACTCTATACACATGACTAATGCCAAAGCCTGACATTAGCAAATCAGCCCAGATAGCTCTGGGGAGCCTCCGGGTCTCACCCAGAAAATGGCGTTTCATTACATTCAACGCTGGTTTTTTACCCTGATCTTTCCTAACTTGTTGTCATTTGTCATCCCCAGTGACCTGTAGTTGAACATCACTTTTGGTGGCCTGTAAGCCTATGTTATCTCTCCTTGCCTGTAGGCCTATGCCATCTCTCCTGGCCTGTAGACCTGTGTTATCTCTCCTGGCCTATAGGCCTATGTCATCTCTCCTGGCCTATAGGCCTATGTCATCTCTAGTGATTTGTAGTCAAATATATTTCTAGTGGCCTGTAGTCCTAAGTCATTTATTATAACCCAGAGGCTTATGTCATATCTCTTGGCCTGTAGGCCTATGTCATATCTCTTGGCCTATAGGCCTATGTCATCTCCCTTTGCCTATAGGCCTATGTCATGTCTGATCTGTAGTGCTTCAACACTACCTACATTTCCATAATAACTAATTTTTGTTATCATAAACACAAAATATAATGAATGATATGAATATTATTAGTACAAATAAAGAGCTGAATGATACAAATCTTTGTTATTTGCTGCTGGAGAACACTTACAAATGACTGAAGAAAACCCATGATTCCTTTACCCCCCAAACGCTTCAACACTAGCACACACAATAAAAATATTTCTAAGTTATACAGTACTCACAAATTTCTTAACTGCATGGACACTTGAATCATTGTCTTTATTGACAAATGTTACCTCACAAGAGCCCTGAGCCACACTTGGATTTAGTATATTTCCAAAGAGCATGACAGCTAGAAAAATGAGTGACATTTATACTTTATGACATCACATATAATTGACAAATATATGTTTGTACTATTCTTTAAATAATTTGATACAGTCTTAAACTTCTAATTAATTGCAATACGCTACTGGACACTGTTTAGAAAATCAACTGATCAATGTTCAGTACTACAGTATTTCAGCAATTCAAAAACAAAGGTTATTACCGTAAAGAATATTATACATTTCTAAAATTTCATGTACAAGTCTCATTACCCACACAAAATAAATTATATTTCGGCAATATATTAATATATTATATTATAATATATTATTATATTATATTTCAGCAATATATTAAAATGTTATGGTATATTCAAATATAAGATCTAATAGCATTAGAAGATCATCAATATCTTCAGGTACAGTAAAAACATATATATAATCTTCAGTTTGGAAAATATAAGAGCTCACTAGTGATGATCATCTCAAGCATAGAACAGCTTTACACAAGTCTACATCAGCATCTCATCTACTCGGGAGCAGACTATGGGTCTCACACACACACACTGGTGATTTGGGAAAGTAATTGCTGACACTTCTCAGTCATCTGTGAACTTTCAGGATAAATACCATTTCAATAACTGATTTGCAAATATTGATTCATGAGACCATTTTCTGCATTCAGTTCAATTATTAACCTTAAGAAAGCTCAAATCCTGTGTTACTTGTAATAGCATAACGTAATTTATCTCTAAGAGTGCTCTTTCGCTGGTAATTTGGTAGTTTAAGCAGGTTAAAGCATGTAGATGAGGTGGGAAGGCGGTTCACAGGATCACGTTTGCGTATAGCAAAGAAACCACGGATAACACTTCCAATGGTATCACCTGAAACAATTTTAGAGTGGTTGGTCACATGTTGTGCAACATAAAAGATGAAGTACTGTATTCTAATACAGTAGTTGATTTGTCTATCACATGTACTGTACAGTGAAGACACTCGGTTGATTAATATTCTGACAGAAATAATTTGTCTACAACTCTAATGGCAAATCATTAGCATTGAATAAATACAATAAAACCAGCAATGAATGTAGAAGAAATATTTTTTCAAGCAGGACCCTCAGTAGCTTCCCGAGCTACACACACTGGTATACTGTATATGTATCAGTACAGTACCTCAGTATCATACCAGGCTCTACCGATTCACAGGCTCCTACCAGAGACCAGTACCAGAATCTGGTCCACTCAGCAGAGGATTGTAGGATCATTACAGTAAAAAAAAAAAAAAAACTTTAAACTCATTTGGGGGGGTGGGAGAGGCAGCTCCTGGTAAGTGCGTCTCCACCATCAGTTCTATGGTAGATATAACCAATCCCTGATGACCCGAAGGGAGGGAGGATGGAGCCACTGAGGTTCGCCCAGAAATTGATGTTTCATTACATTCAATACTGGTTTTCTGGGAAGTGTCTCTTGTGGCTCCCTAAATCTAACTACCTGCAGAGAGGGAAACAAAAGGGCACCTACCTGGGATGAGGGAGCACTGCTGGAACTAAGATGAAGACAAGACTCCAGGCCAAAAGTCACCACCCAAAACCACACAATGACACCAGGGCCCCTGACACAATGACACCAGGGCCCCTGACACAATGACACCAGGGCCCCTGACACAATGACACCAGGGCCCCTGACACAATGACACCAGGGCCCCTGACACAATGACACCAGGGCCCCTGACACAATGACACCAGGGCCCCTGACACAATGACACCAGGGCCCCTGACACAATGACACCAGGGCCCCTGACACAATGACACCAGGGCCCCTGACACAATGACACCAGGGCCCCTGACACAATGACACCAGGGCCCCTGACACAATGACACCAGGGCCCCTGACACAATGACACCAGGGCCCCTGACACAATGACACCAGGGCCCCTGACACAATGACACCAGGGCCCCTGACACAATGACACCAGGGCCCCTGACACAATGACACCAGGGCCCCTGACACAATGACACCAGGGCCCCTGACACAATGACAAGATACCAAGCTGCCAGAACCCTGTCCAGCCTCCAAAACAACTGTGCCTGAATATCAACCTCTTCACGAACACAGCCAAGAGAGTGGCATATTTCCAAACATCATGGGTGTGAGGGTAGACCACAGTCTGGCTAGACTTAAAAACACTGGATGACCTGAGAAAGACGAGCCTCGGAACAGGGGGTCAAGGTAAGAGGATCAACCCACAAAGAATCCACAAAGGCAGAATCTGTGGCACAAAGGTAGTGGTGCACAGCTGTCACCAGACACAACACACACTGCACCAAGCATCAATAATCAAAGGACAACTTCAGAAGCTAATCAACTCATCCATTGCCAGAATAGAAGAAGTTGACTGAGAAGAACAAACTGCCTACCATTGACAAAAGAACAAAATCCTTGCCAATGGAGGAGAGCATAAAGCTCACCCACTCAACACCCAGAAGCAAAACAAACCAAAGACCAGGACTTGAAAACCAACCAAGGATTGTAGGGGGACATTATAAACTGAGGAAAAGACAAATGAAACAACACTGTCCAGAGACCAAGCAGTCTCAGGCAGCATGTGAGTAAGCCAGAGATAAAAGAATGCATGAGAAAGCTTGCAAAACAGGCTGAGATACAGTAGTATCAACACCGAACCCTAGCTCAGTGGCTCTGCCAGTGCCACATGATATGATGCGATAGTATACAGTACGAGATGCTGATCAATAAACAAGAGCACCACACACTCAGAAATTGAAGAAGAACAAGCAGAAAGGAGAGTGAAAGCAGCACTATGAAATCTCATACTGTTGCTGCGAAGAAGACTGCAGGTGGGACACCAGCAATGACACCACCTCATCACCATAGAGATGGTGATAAATATGTGCCGGAAATACCAAATGCGAAGAGCAGAGAAGGCCGAATCAGTACATTACATTACTGAGTCGACCTGGTGTCCAAACCCGAGCATTTTTTCTGCCCGGGTTTGGACACTGAGCAAGCAGCACCTAAAACTAAGGCTGAGCTAGCCACCAAGGAACCAAAGGATCACCTCCCCCTGTATGAATCCAACCTGGCCAGGACCCAGAGCAACAGCTGGACCGGGAAAATAGGTACAGGAACCCCAACTTGACTACTCCAACTGAAAGGCATGTACCACGAGGGACTCACAATCAGGGAATGGCACTGCATACAAGGTAAACACGGAGATCACGCCAATGTGAAGCAGTCCATGTCTGGGTGCAGGAACCACTTGCAAAGACAAAAATAGGAGGTGATATCAACAATCAACTCTGTGAAGATGGGAAGGAACTGGGAGAGACTGTCTATAAGAATAATGGACACTTCCTGGACATGAGCAACACGGAGACCCAAACCCTCAGAACCCAGCAGAAGAGCTGCCCGAAGTGTCCAGCTCCAAAGAGGCAGGGGACCAAAGCGATTCCCTCCCCCCCCCCCACTCCTGGTTGAAACAAAGAACCACGAGAGAACAGTCTGAACGGAGCCAGAACACAGAGCCCGGAGGAATACAAATGCTGTGCAGTGTATGACACAAGGCAGCAAACACCTGAATCATAATGCAAGCTCGACAAAAGATAAAGAGACCAACGACCCTGGCCAGCCTTGTGTGGGTCTCCCAGCCCCACACAAGCCAGTCGTCGACATAGACCAAAATTCGAACCCCCCAGCAAATGAAGAAGTCACAATGACTTGAGCCAAGCATGGGAACAAGTGTGGTGCTAGATGCGACCCAAAAGGAAGGACCCGAATGCAGTGAGTTTGGTGTCCCACGGCAAAACATTGTCAATCCCAAAATCCAGATGAATAGAGATGGGCAAAGACCCAAAGGCCCAGGGAGACCATTCAAGCAACTGCCTCGAAAGCACTTACTAAAGCATTTCTCATACCGACTGATTTGGCTTGTGGTCTACTTTCATTGAATTCAGGGAAGTTTGCCTTAGTATGAGTTTATTGCTGATCCCTTTATACTCGTCACCTTGTAGAGGGGGCAATGGGTGATTGCACTGATCCTTGTCCCTGGTGACTTAGAAATATCTTAGTATGCATGGCGTTGTTCACTTGGGCTGGACGGTAGAGTGACGCTATTGCTTTATACAGGATGGAGTCAAATCCTCGACCATCCAAGTGGTCGGGCACCACTCCTTTTCCAAGCCCCCTCCCAAATCCTTATCTTGATCCTTTCCAAGTGCTATATGTATAGTCGTCATGATTAGGCACTTTCTCCTGATAGTTCCCCTTCCCTTTGCATTGTCTAAATCTGACCAGGAACGACCAGTGTGTAAGCTAGGGAAAACTACTGAGTGTGTTGTCCAGAAAATGTCTGATATGGGAATAACACACATGACTTGACAGTTGTTAGTCCACTTCAGTGTATAGTCAGTACAGAAAATATTTAACAAAACTACTGTACATAACATCAATGTTAAAAGAAAAACAAGCCAATAAAATATTTTTATTTGAAATTTTCACTGTAAGGAATTTAAATTAAGTTTTAAAGTTCTTAAGTTTTGTTATCTACAGTTCTAATACAAATGTATATTATTCAAGTTGACTTGCAAGAAAATTCTAAATAATGTTTAATGAAGTATAAATTTCACTTTACCTGTATCTTCATCATCACCAACTTCAACACAACGAATAGAAAACGGTGGTTCCAAGTGTGTAAATCCTAAGAGTGGAGGCTTGGAACAGCTGGTCACAAACTGAAATATTAATTACAACAGTAGTAGCAATAATACATTAATAGACTACTGAGAATGATATGGAGTTGTTCCCCCCCACTTAATTTCTTAACATGTACATTCTGAGGAGCAAGCACTTTCAACAAACAGGAATAACTGCTAGACTAAAACCAATATTATCAATACTCGGGTACTACTGAAACATTAATTTTATCTACTCAATACTAACACTACTATGTAAGCTCATTCACTACTACTTAAGAATTATCTTCACTACATGAACACTAAGCCAAGAGAAGATTTTTGTCAATGTCTAAATGATTTCTTTAAACAGCAAAGAAACTATCTCCCTTGCAAAATGTTATTATCATTACCGAATACAGTAGTAATATTCGGTACTCGAATATTACCGAGTAATATTGCTCGGTAATATTACTTACCGAGCAATATTACCGAGCATATTGCTCGAATGAGCTAATTGGGACCAAATCTGTTTTGTTCGACCATGGATGTTGGTCCACTGAGTTTTACACCATTATCTGGGTGAGCCTCGCCGGCTCCCTGAAGCTATCGGACTGATATATGCTATATTAGTCTGGGGCTTCAGTCACATGGATTTCTTACCTACTAGGAATCACGAGCCAGAACCTGGCTCCCTCAGAGAGGTGAAGAATGCAATGGCCTATGAAAACTCCACTCTTTGAGAGTACTGTATATTCATGTCTATCATCGACTGGGAAAGGCACCCAGAAAGGTAGGCATCCCAAAACAAACCCCAACTGATAGAACATTGCAATCCAAGACCAGACAGAGTCCAAGAACTACCTCCAAGAATAAAAATGCAACAAGTAAAACGTCATCAAACTGACATTTCCCCTCCATCCCCTTGGAGGGGGGAAATGTGCTTACCCGAGCCTGCTGCTCACCCCCAGTTCGTTGACTGAAGCCGACTGAGGCTGACGTTACCTCTGGCCTCAATCTCCTGTTAGGATTTTGCCCTTGCGGTTGTGCCTGCTGTGTGGGTGGTGCGGTGGCCAGGATATAACTGTACTTAAGACTGCATGCACTTAGGGTTCTCTTCCCTAGACACCCTGTAAGTACTTCCCTTGTGTCTCAGGGTTCTTTTCCCTGTGGCGTTCGGGTTCTCACTCCTGGAGGGGTTGCTGTCGCTTGACTTTGACCTCACCCTTAGGGATGGCGAGGGTCTTGGTGCTTTCATTTGGCCCTGGGTAGGGAGTGTTTGTTGCTGGGGTCGGGGAACATGGTGCTTATACAGCTCACATACCTAGCGGCGGCCGTGTCTCTCTCTCTGCCCTCCTGTTGTTGTAGTGTATTTTCAAGGTTTTTGTTTTCATTTGTTTTCATTATTTTTTTTTGTCTTGTGAAGGTCTGCCTGGCTTTCGATTCGGTTCGCCTAGGTTCTATTTGGTGGTCCTCCTCTAGGCCCATAAGGTTGCTCTCTTCACAGGGGATCAATTTGTCTAGTAATAGACTTTTGCTATTTTTTCGGAAGGGTTCGGGAGGCCCTTGGTTCGTACCTTCTGCGAGACCCGGACTTTGCCTCTGTGATGGACCCAGTCTCTTTTGAGTTCGGTTCCTCTTTCCTATATTGGATGCATTATGAAGTTCTGGCGTCTTCCTGGCTGGTACACTGCCCTTTCTTTTCACTGGAGGTGTGGCATGGTTTTTGTTGTACCCGCACAGTGGGTTAGCGGGAGGCGTCTGTTGTTGTTGTTGTTGTTAAAGATTCGCTACCTGGAACAAAAAGTTCCAAGTAACACAGGCTATGGTGAGCCCGCAATGGGAGGCCTCTACGGTGCTACAGGTTTTCCTGGGGGGTTCTTTTGAGCATCTCAACGTGTGCCTTTACGTCCCTGTGCTTCCTCATGAGGTTGGCTTGCTGCAGTTGCATGTTCAGGTCCCCTCCCTTTCGGCTGCCTTGGTTGCAGAGGATCTTGCACTTTTTTTCCTCTTCTCGAGTTGTCCCTGGACTGGCTTCTGGAGGATGTGTCAGCGTTGAGTGCCGGGCCGTCGTCCTGGGCATTGGTCTCGGCTGCTCAAGCGTTGGCGACGTTGCTGAAACTGTTTGTGCTGATACTCCGGGAGGTAGTTTCGCTGTTGCATGTCGGTAGGCTGTCCTAGTTCTCTCTCTTGACTCTGCTTGGGCTCTTTAGTTCTCATCACCTTTCTGTACCCTGTTGTTTTCGAACGAGATTGTTTCTCAGTTTTTGCATGTGGCATTTGCCAGTTGCCATCCTCTTTCTGATTTGTTGGTGCTCCAGGGTGGGTGTTCTTGCGCTTACGTGCAAGAAGACTTACACGCTTCTCGTAAATAGGCTTCTCGGAAGGCATGCCGGCCCTTTTGTGGGTCACCCTGTTGACGGAGTGCTAGGGGGTGGGGGGCTGGCTCTGTTTGTCCATGCTTGGTCAACCAATTCATAAGCTTTTTTGAGTCGTGTCCTCCAGCCTGTGGTGGCAGTGGGCAGCTCCTCATCCTCTCGGAGGTTTGGGGCTGGTAGGGCAGGCTTTCTCTCCTTCACTCTGTCGGGTCATCTTGGAGTGGGTGCGCTTGGGCGTGGTCGAAACAATTTCGCCCCTCAAGTGGGTTTCCCACTTATTTCTGGTTCTGAAATGGGACTGTGCGGATCTTCGGTTCATTCTGGACTTATCTCGTCTGAACCGCTTTATTTCTTGGCCCTTCTTTCGGATGACCACTCTAGCTTCTCTTGGAGCTGGGTTCTTGGATGGTGTCTCAGGACCTTCGGGATGTCCCTATTCACCCAGGGTTCAGGGACTGGTTAGGTTTCGTGGTGGTGGTGGCGAGCTTACCGCTTTCATTGCTTTTCCTTCGGGTTGAATCTGGCACCTCGCTTGGTCACGCACTTGACTCAGGTTATTTTGGCCCGTCTTCAGCTGTTAGGTGTTCAGGTGTTGGCCTACCTTGATGACTGGTTGGGTTGGACTCCCAGCCAGTCTGCTTGCCAGGGGTTTGGTTCTTTCCCAGCTCGCCGGGTTCTGGTTCCTGGTGAACTGGAGGAAGTCCTATTTGGTTCTGACCCAGGTTCAGACTTGACTGGGCCTTGTTTGGGACTCTCGGACAACGTCCGTGTCTCTCCCTCCTGTGGCAATGCTCCGGCTGCAGTCCCGCCTTTGGCTGTTCTTGAGGAGGGGTTCCAGGTAACCCGGCGGTTGCTCGAGCAGCAGTGCAGGAGTTTGAACTTCGCTGTGCTGGTTTACCCACTGGGTCGGGTTTGGCTTCGGCGTCTGATCTGATTTCTTCGGGGCTGTCCCTTCCGCCGCTCTAGCGACACCTGGGTTTGTTCTCCGGGGGCCTTGCATCAGTTCCCATGTCTATGGCTTCCTCTTCGGGTTTTCTGGGGTTCAGTGTTATGGAGTCTTCCGGAACCCTCACTCGATGTGTTCACGGATGCCTCGTTTCTCGGCTGGGGCTTTGTGACCAGTGCTCACTAAGCAATCTTTGCCATATGCAATGAGTGGGTAACAACAAACCACAGCTGAGGGTTGATGCGCCATGACTGGAGCATCACCCTAGTGGCCTGTTGGGGTAACTTAAAATGTAGAGCAAAATTCTTGCCAAAATTATAAACAACGAAACCATTGATCTGAGAGGAGGGAAGAGCAGGGGTACCAAAAGCATCGGAAAATAGTGTGTAATAAATGTACATGAACCAAATGAAAAAGTTTTTACATTAAGTAAAAGATGGAAGTGTCTGATGTGAGGTGCTTAAATCACGCTGGTAAATATGATAAAACTAATTTAGAAAGGGAAGGAGAGGACGAAAACCCCCTCCCCTGACACAAGGGCCCAAGTAGGGGCAAAAGGAGCCCCAAGCGATCCAAGAGGACTTCCCCCCCCCAACCCCAAGAACTCCTGAGACAGGCCCCAGGGCAGAGCCCTCTTCCACGCCCATCCCCCAATCTCTGAAGAAAAGGCAGCATCCAAGGGAAAAGCTTCCAGGAAGGGAGTCTGTTGGATTGACCCAGAAGCCATGGAGGAAAAATCGGACTCAACCACCTCTGTGCCCGAATTGGAAGGGGCAGCCCCTGTAGCCACCTGAGCCTCATCCCGAGCTAAACCCCGCCCCGACCGACTCCGAAATCCTCAGTCGTTTAGGAGCCAGAAGCAGGGAGGAAAAGGACGAACCACACCCACCTGGGAAGGAAGCAGGGGCGTGGAAGGAACCAAGGTCGAAGAGACCAAAACACTCAAATCCTGGTCCCACACCCAAATCCAAGTGGGGCAGCACACAACAAAAAATAGCAGACACACAACAAACAAACTGATAGTCAGAGAGAAACATCGGCTGCTGTGTTGAAGTAAAGCTAGCTGCACCAGCCACAGTGAGGACCACCCAGCCAATAACACTCCCCTACCCAGGGCAACACGGAAAGCCCTAGACCTCTGGACCTACATCAAGCGATGAAGTCCTCAAATGGGGAGTGAATCCCGAACGCCCCCAGGGAAGATAAACCCGACACGTTAGGGCAGTATTCACAGAGTACCTAGGGAAGGTCACCCTAGGCACATGTGCTCCTGTACACTAAGACACCTGGCCACCACACCAACACATAGCTGGAACAGCCACACAGGTTAAAAATCTAGAACAGGAACTTGAGGTTAGAGGTGACTGATCTGACTAGCACATCAGTTCTTGAACAGGAGAGGTGGGCTGCCGGCTTTCCCTTCCGCCGTTGTAATGACTGGTATTAGAGTGCTAACGAGCAGAAGTGCTAGTTGCATGAAGGATTTACTCAGGTGAGTCTGGTGAAAGGAAGGAACAACAATGAAGAAAACTCTGACCCCATACAGCCTTATTCAATATTAAACCATGGCACACACAAAGAAAGGCACCACCATGCTGGAAAAGGTGCAAAGACATGCAACTAAATGGCTCCCAGAACTGAAGGACAAGAGCTACAAGGAGAGGTTAGAGGCATTAAAGATGCCAAAACTAGAAAATAAAAAAAGAAAAGCCAATATGATCACTATGTACAAAATAAGAACGGGAATCGATAAAATTGATGGGGAAGAATTCCCGAGACCTGGAACTTCAAGAACAAGAGGTCATAGATTTAAACTAACTAAACAAAGCTGCCGAAGACATATAAGAAAATTCCCTTTCGCAAACAGAGTGGTAGATGGTTGGAACAAGTTAGGTGAGAAGGTGGTGGAGGCCGAAACCATCAGTAGATTCAGAGCATTATACAGTGTGACAGAGTGAGGGGAAGACGGGACACCACAAGCATAGCTCTCATCGTGTAACTACACTTAGGTACTGTAATTACTGTACCAAATACACAAGTAAACCATATTAACAAGGAAAAGAAGCAAAGACCCCTATGCCTGACAAAGTCCAAAAGGATGGCCAACACTTATCTGTACAAGCAGAAATCAGGCCCAGCAAAGTGGCAAAGATCTTGTTAACAGAGCACCAGATAAGAGAATGATTGGGTGGGCCAACTTTCCAAGACCATTAGCGGCCGGTGCTACCATCTGGTGGTGTACATAAGAGACAAACAAGTGGTTAGTCCTGGATACCAATTGTTTATATAGCTGAGGATTGCATTGCCAATGTTTACCAAGCAGTTGTCTGTTTTGACAGTGTCCCTTTCTGATGGATTTTTCTCTTGGGTACTGTGGTGATCCTAGATTCCCAGACTTCCCTTCATTTATCGAGGGAAGCAGATTCTGGTGCTGGCCTTCAATAAATGCTTGTAAATAAATGGAGTCTGGTGTGGTTCTTAACAATGTTAGCTGGCCTGGTGGGTAGCTCTAGGTAGCCTCCTCAAGGAGCTATTGAGGAGGCTCTCACAGAAACATATTTTTAACTTTGGCTAACAAATTTGTTAATTTAAATGGAGGTAATAAATAATATATTAAGTATTTTTCAATACAATTTTCAAAATGACTCCAAACTGTATAACCTTCAATAAAAAATTACCTTTAGGAAAAGTGCTCGTTCCTCCTCTTTGAAGTCTCGCTCAAGGATATCCCACAGCCAACAAACAACTCTGTGTTTATCATGAAAGCCACCATAATAAAGTGTGTTTTCACGCAGATCTTTGAGATCCACGGCTACGTTGTCTCCCGAGATAAGCCTTTGGAACTAAGAGAAAATTTTTTGGAAATCAGTCCAAGAACAGCAATACATGTGAATAAAAATATAGCACAAATATATTCAAAGCTAATGGCCATGTTTTAACAATATATGAATTAGGAAAAAACTCACACTTGTATTTTTGTGAATATACAAAATATTTTGTCAGTACAAAATATTTGTGTTTATTATGTGTGAAATATATTTTGAAGTTAATATTTTTGGTAGTGTGGAATGGATTAATGCAATTTACATTATTTATCATTGGAAAATTAGTTTCGGGTTACGAATTTTCGTGGTATGAGCCATCTCTGGGACCAGATTAAATTCCTAAACAAAAGTACCATTGTATTAGATATCAATAAATGGATGAATGGAAGCAGTCCCATTAGCAGCATTCCTTGGGGTATGGAGAGGGTTACAAGGAACAGCATTCAAATGAACACCTCTATTTATAACAACCCCAGTTCCATGACAACTCCAGTAATCCTAGCAGGATTACAGAAAGGACACATGACCATATTTCCGAAGAAGACATTAGTGCAGGCACACCGGCAGTCAAGAATAGGGGTGACTTGGTCAGGAGGTCAAAAAGGATATGAGGACTGGACCCAGGATAGCAGCCTCATTAGATGTTGATATGTAAATCTCATTCTAATCACACAGTCAGACTTTGACAAAGCATTCGGGAGTATGAAAGACTTGGTATAAATTCCTTACATAAATTTCGTAAATACACAAATGTGGGTTTTTCTTATGTTATTATATCTGTGAGAAGATAATATCATTACTAATATGTGAATTGCTGCTACTTATTTAATGATATATTAAGCCTTATGTTACAGTATTAACATTAAACAATCATGCTCTTGAATTTACTAATAAATAAATGTACCTCTGGAATGGAAAACAGTGACAGCCACTCTGGGTTAATGATGGAACGGAAGCCACGGATGAAGGCTTTTGTTTGGTCCTTGATCTGTGTGTGCATCTTGAAGTGTGCCATGAGGTGGATATAAACAATTTTGTTGTCATTAGTGACAGGTACCACCTTACCACCAGGCCTAAGTTCATGATTAATGATCTGGCCCAAGTAATCTTCATCATAGGAGAATGTCAGGTCCAAGTCTCCTACATCTCCATCATAATGCTGAAAGTGACAAATGTAAGATCACACACACATATACATAATAATTGGAATTAACCTAGAATGTTTGTTGTATCAGTGAGGCTATTATATATAAAATCAGTCTTAAATATGGTGAAATGCATCTTTCTGGATGATCCCTGGTGGCTCCCTGCAGCTATCTCACTGAGATTGCTCCTAACTATTAGTTCACATCAGTCACAGAGTTCTGTTTAGCCTACCAGGGACCATAAGCCAGAACCTGGCTTCCTCACAGAGGTACAGAGGTACATAGCAGGTGACACTTCACCACCCCATCAGGAAAGCATCCAGAAAGTCAGCGAACCAAATGAAAAGCCATTTGCTGGGCCAGCCCTGGAGCCCCCCCTTCCCCTGAAGCTATCAAGCTGACATGTGCCATATTAATTTGGTGCCATCAGTCCCTGGAGTTCTAGTGCCTACCAGGGGCCTCGAGACAGAAACTGGCCCCCTCAGAGAGGCACAGGGAGCAGTGGCCAAATGAGCACTCTACATTTATCATCATGTCTGCCATCGACCACCAGATAAGTAGGGGCAAACAATACACACCTTCAACTGGTTAAAATTGCAACCTATATCTGAACAGAGCCAAAGAACTCTCCCCAAAAGAAACAATGAAACAAGCAAATAGTCATCCAACTAAGTCACTGGGAAGTGATTCCCAAATGCCCCAGGGAAGATAATCCTGGCACGCAAGGGAAGTACTCATGGAGCACCTAGAGAAGGTCACCCTAGACGACTGCTGCTTCTGTACACTAAGACACCCGGCCACCACACCAACACACAGCTGGAACAGTCACAGAGGGCAAAAATCCAGTACAGGAACTTGAGGCCAGAGGTAACTGATCTGACCGCTAGCACATCAGTTCAAGAATTGGAGTGGTGGGATGCCGGCTATGGAGGAACAGGGAAGCAACCCTACGAAGGGAAAGGAAAAGACCGCTAAGAAGCCTCGTACTGTAGCAGAGACGAAGACCACAGGTGGGACACCAAAGAAGACACCTGATCACCATACAAATGGTGATACACTCACGTCAGAAAAACCAGATGCAAAAAAGTGGAAGAGTAAGATAAGCGAGGTACCTCATTGGCCCAATCAGCTGAGAGAGGCGGAGCCGCGGAAAAACTCCCGGGTTCGGACACTGAGCAAGCAGCGCCTGAAACTATGGCTGAGCCAGCCACCATGCGGCCAGGAGAAGCACCCTCCCCGGATAGTTTTCGAGCCATGCCAGAACCAGGAGCAACAGCTGGACTGGGGAAAAAATCCAACATTGAATGTAATGAAACACCATTTTCTGGGTGAGACCCGGAGGCTCTCCGGAGCTATCCAGGCTGATATGCTAATGTCAGACTTTGGCATCAGTCATGTGTATGGAGTTCTGTGGGCCTACTGGGGACCATGAGCCAGAACCTGGCCCCCCTCAGAGAGGCACGAGGAGCAATGGCCGATAGAAACCCCATGTGTGGTTGGAAGCATTCTATGTCTGCCATCGACCGGGTCAGGCACCCAGAAAGGTAAACACCCCAATACAAACCCTCTATTCTGGTGAAAATTGCTACAAAACGCCAAACTAGTGGATAGAATTTCCCAAACAAACGAGCAAACGAGCATGACGTAACACGTCACTGCACTGCTGTCTGCGCAGCTCCCCCCCTCTCGGGAGGGGGGAAAGAGGGAGCCCCAGACCCCCGCACCAGTCATCCACACCTCAGTTCTGAGGTTGGACCTCAAAGCATGCGAAAAACCGCCGACCAGGGGGAGGGAGGGTTGCCAGGGAGCCTCCGGGTCTCATCCAAAAAATGGCGTGTCATTACATTCAACGCTGGTTTTCTGGGGGGAGCCCCATCGGCTCCCCAGAGCAAACTACCCAAAGATGAAAACCAGAGGGACTTATGCGGGAGGCGGTCGCTGCTCACTCCTCAACTCGAAGTTGAGACAACTGGCTGCAACCGCCGACCCAAAGCGACACAATCCCGACTAGGCCCAGGAACGTTCACCAAGTAACCCGCAGCCAGGACCCTGTTCGATCTCCAAAAACCCAGCGCCCGAATGTCAACCCAGGATATATTACCAAAAATAGCTGCAAGAGCAGCAAACTTACGAATGTCATGGGTACGGAGGTAGACCGCAGGCTGGCTAGACCAAATAACCTTGCGGATGACCTGGGAGACCCGAACCCTGGAACAGGGAAGAAGCGAAACCGGATCAACCCAAAGTGCATCCCCGGCCACAGAGCCCATGGTGCGCAAATAACGGAGGAGGGCCACAACCGGACACAACACATGCAGCTGCCTAGCGAACCAAGCATCAACAACCCAAGGATCCCTTCGGAAATCAGCAGTCTCATTCTTCCCCCAGAAAGAAAGGAGACGGTTGCAAACAAACAAACCTACTACTAGGACCAAACGAGCAGAAACCCCTGTGCCGGAGGAGAGCACGAAGCTTGCTGACCTGACCCCCAGAGGCTAATGCCAACAAGAAAAGAACCTTAGAGAAACAATCCTGAGCCAAAGGCGCCACCACAAACCGAGGACCCACAAAGTGGGGCTCAAGAGGAAGAAACCTCCGGAACAAAACCAAAGAACCCAAAGGAACCCGGAATTTAACCCGAGGAAGCCCAAACCACCACATTTGCCGGCGGACATACACCACAGAAAGGGCAAAGCACAGCACTCAGACCAAACCCCCAGGGAAACAGCCAAAACGGACTGAAAACCGATGGACAAGGTGTGGAAGGGAGCATAAACAGACAGGGACACTGAGCCCAAACACCTGGACTCAGACCCCAACAGACAGAAACTGCAAAATAATGGTGTAAAACAAACACCCAAGCATTCCCAGAGGCAGAACACCCCAGAAAAAGCAAAGAAATGAAACAGGAGGATAAAACCCCTGAAGGGGGGTGAAAAACTCACCCAAAATACGAGCTCACACACCCAGGCACACGTAAACAAATTGCAGCGCTGCCTTGGTGGCCAAGCGGGAAAACCCGCAGAAAGAAAATGGCCACCAGAACAAGGAGCTGTGATTGACACACTAGATCCGAAAACACGCCAGCAAATGTGGTAAGTAAGCAGACGAGAGGGACGAAAACCCCCGCCCAGAAGCAGAAAACCCCATGCAGGGGCAAACAGCCCAAGAACAGCTAACGGGTATTCCCCACAACCCCAGGAACCCACAACAGAAGGCCCCAGGGCAAAGCCGTCCTCCACGCCCTCTGCCCTTAAAGAAAAGGAAGAGTCCAGAGGAAAGGCAGCTAAGAAAGGGCTGCTGGTAAGACCCAGAAGCCTCGGCAGGAGGATCAGGCTCGAAAACCTTCGTCTCCAACCCGAACGGGGCAGCCCCTGAAGCTGCCCAAGTCTTGGCACCAACTAAACCCCATTCTGACCCTGAAACCCGCAGACGGCCAGGAGCCAGGAACAAGGAGGGGAAAGGGGCAAACAGCACCTAACCAATACAGGTGGGAAACCAACCTAGCGTGTTGCAGCAACCTAAACCAAGCATGCAACACGGATGCCGTCTGTACTCTGAACAGTAATAACATCAGAAGAGTACCGGAGAACAAGCAGAGAAAACATCTCGCAAGCCTCTGGGTCAAGGTGTCAGTGACCCAACAGGCAACATGATGGAGGTAAAAGTGGCGACTGTCACCCTGAGACAAGGGCGCAGCAACCAACAAACCCGAATAAGATGGGATGGAACCCGGAAGACACATCCAGTGGTCCACCAAGCCCCGACAGGGTTTTCCAGGACCCATAGGCTGATTACAGGAAGCCTGGGCAAGGTGTTGCTAACTGGTTAACACCCAAAACGAACAAGGGGTAAATGATAACACTGAAAACCCCCTGTGAGGCGTATAATCATGGGGGCCTAGCAGAGGGCCACCAAACACTACCAGTGGAACTATAGCCACACTAGGCAGACCCCCACCAGGCAAATGAAAATAAAAGCAAAAGAAAATCCCCGCAAAAGTACACCGTCCCCAGAGACAACAGGGACCGGCCGCCGCGTAGGTAGCAGGTCGCGCATCACCTTGACACCCTAACCAGCACAATACCAGTCCCTACCCAGGGCCAAACAAGGGACCAAGCCCCAGTTGTCCCCATGGGCAAGGCAAATGCCGAGCAGCAAGACCCTCTATGGGAATGGTTCCTGAACGCTCCAAGGAAGATAACCCTGTCATGCAGGGATAGTACTCAGGGGGCGCTTAGGGAAGGAAGCCCCTAAGCACATGCAACCCCGGTACCGATGAGGAACTCCTGGACACCGCACAACACAAAACACAGCAGCGAGCGCCACAAAGGCAAACACTGCTTAGGAAACTGAGGCCAGAGAAGTGTCTGTCCTGGTTGACATTAGCTTATGAACTGGTGCTAAGCAGCCGGCGCGGTGAGGTCCAGGGACCCCCCTTCCCCTCTCGGGGAGTGGAGGCCTGCGCGGACGAGTGACGCGGCAGTGAAGTGTGATGTTTGCTTGTTTCCTTGGGATTGTAGGGAGTTTCTACCTCTCTGTTCGGTTTTTGGTTTAGTTTCTTACCATGTGGGGTTTGTTTTGTTATGCCTACCTTTCTGGGTGCCTAACCCCGGTTGATGGCAGATAAGGAAAACCCCAACCACAAGGGGGTTTTCCAGGGCCATTGCTCCTCTGAAACCTCTCTGAAGGGGCAGGTTCTGGCGCTGGTCCCTGGTAGGTCTGAACTCCATAGTTAATGTCCTGGTCTAATATAACATACATTAGCCCGATAAGCTCCAGGGAGCCATAGGGGGTCCCCACAGAAATACCAATAAAATTATAATCTTGAACTGAATATGTTAAATATTAGCATTTTATATTTTTATACAGGATATTACAAGCAATTGCTTTATAACCTTGATATAAGTCATTGACTTGTACAATTCCGGGTCCAGTGAGGGCAGCTCATCAATGGAAGAGTAGAGAGCTGATTGTTGCTCACCCAATACTTGACTGAGGAAGAATGATGCAAATGGGCAGTCAACCACAATACCCTAGAAAGTAAATTGGGACACATTAAAATGGTAATGGGTCTGTTAATGGACCTTGTGAACTTTCCAACACAGCATTAAATCATAACAATAACATATGGAGTAAAACAAAACTGTTAACAAATGAATACCTACAATAAGAATAGAAAATTTAAAACAAATTTGAACACATCTCTGCTTAATATATTGCAAAATATTTGAAAATGATATCTTAGCCACTTTACTCCTACCAATAAATAGCTGCCAGAAACTTGCAACATCCCTGCCTTAAGTTCACACAAGTTGCTTGAGGCAGAGGCAGTACGGACACACAAACTCACCTCGTACACCGCTTTTCCTAACATGCGTCCGGTGAATTCAAACAACTGGAGGTGATTTTCCGTCATGGAGGACGTTGGGGACGGGTAGAGACGCTCTTCGCTTGTGAGACGGAACAAGTTAAGGGACGGGTCAAATACTCTCTTGAGTGTCTCCTCCAGGAACTCTTGAGAGATATAAATACATTGTCACAAATCTCTACATCATGTGACTACAGTACTACAAGTACAGTACTCTACTTACTTATGCAATCAATAATATATGTGCATTCTAAATGTAAGTAAAGGTAATAGTATACATATGGGAAGCATTTAAATAACTGTTTTCATCTAACATTAATAAGTTTCTTTCACTGTGGTTTAAACTAAGTTTAAACTAGATAACATTATCCTGATTCTTATTAACTTTAAACCACAAACTTTTTTCCTTTCAGTAATTTGATAGTTTAAGAAAATACATACCTACTTATTTATACATTATTGTTATTCACAATTTATATTTTCAAGTGTGAATAAATTTAACTACAGTGTATATGCAAAATTTTGTTGATTGCAACTATACAAATTGTGAATAATAAAGTAGTTTAAAATTATTAGCCAGGTGTTGTGTATGGAAAGCCTGCATGAAGCCAATTTCCTTCAAATACAATATGCAGTTTCTAGAATGAATATTGTCAGATATAAATAAATAAACAGGTTGTAAATGTGTAGAATTGACAAAAGAAGTACAACTAAAAATTTGAGCATCTCTACTGGTGTGACATGAGAGCATGAAACATGGCCAAAAGATGTATCCATGGAGGAGGTAGGATTATCAGTGTATAATTTAACATGTAAGGATGCAGCAGACAGCAGACATTCAGTGTGTACAGAAACTATGCAATAAACTTTAGAGAAACTAAAGAAATGAATATGGAGAGTTTAGTGGAAGGCTGGACAAAGTGACACCATGCCGCATAATTGGAAAAGCAGTAGCATTGTGCTAACTGATGAAGTTAAAGAAGTTAAATGAATGAAGTTAAAGAAGTGTGCTTGGCTAATTTAAGAGGTCCAAAGGATTACTCTGCTGAATAAGAAAGTTGTTTAAAATTATGTGCAGAAAAAAAGTGAGCAGGAAAAGAAAGGTAGAACTGGAGAACTTGCTAAGAGCTGAAGCATCTGCCCCCAACATACTGGACAAAGAACCCAACCATGGGTAAATAACAGACTGGCCTCTGAAACTGGTTCCAGGGCCATATCTCAAGACAAAATGGGAGGTCGAGTTGGAAAGGATTAGAAAAAGACTTCCAGTTTCATCCTGGCAAGGAAAGACAGGTTTCTCTAAATTAAAATCAGGGGCCAAAGGCACTGGAACAGCACCCTCTCAACCTTAGGGAATTGTATGACCCCCAGAACTTCAGCCTCCAGAGCCAAAGCAATTAGTACCTGCCCAAACTTAAAAAGGAGAGGCATAGGAGCTGACAGCACAGAAAGGAAAAGTCAACCATTGTGAAGTACCAAATGTTGACAGGGACAGAGGCCAACACATAGGGTTAGAAACAGTGACTGGCACAAAAGGGAGAGGACCCATTTATGATTCTCAGAATGGAAGGCTGCATTGATCCTATGTTAAATGAAACAAAGGACTAATAGCCCTTATAAAAAGTGCACAGAGTCCACAAGCAAGCAGCAGCATGATATGCAGCCATCCGAGTTGGAGGCTAACACATGATACTAGTCCTTACACATAAATGCTTGAGTGCACAAGGGTAAAGCGACTTTGTACCCAACACAAGGAGCAATGGAGGGGTCAGGAACTACTACAATATAAACCTCAAAACCTAACATAACAGAGGCAGACATTAAACTGGACATATCATACTGGTTGACTGCATTTATCTGGATCTAAATAACCAGCATTGAATGTAACGAAATGCCATTTTCTGGGCGAGTCCCGGAGGCTCCCCCGGAGCTATACTAGGCTGATGTGTGTATATTAGACCATGGCAACAGTCAATCAATGGAGTTCTAGCCTACCAGGGACCACAAGCCAGAACCTGGACCCCTTCAGAGATGCACGGGGAGCAATGGCCTATAGACACTCCAATGTAGTTGGAAGCAGTCTGTCTCTCTACGAAGAGACAAAAAGTGCTGAAAGGACAGCCAGGAACCATCATACTGCCACCGAGATGAAATTCACAGGTGGGACCCCATCAACAGAGCCACCTGATCACCATACAAGTAGTGATAAAGTCACATCAAAAAGACCAGATGCGAAGTGCGTAGGAGAAAATCGAACCAGCCACGTACCGGACCGAAATGATCCGCTGAAAGAGGCGGAGTAGTGGGAAGACCCTCGGGTTCAGACACTGAGCAAGCAGCACCTGAAACCAAAACTGGGCCGGCCACCAAGGGACCAACGGGACTACTCTTCCCTGGTAAGTCTACAAGCGAGCCAGGACCTGGAGCAACAACTGAACCGGGAAGAAGAGGCACAGGTAACTATAGGCCATTGCTCTGCGAAGAGGTCCACCTCGATCAGTCCAGCCGAAAGGTATCAACCCCAATGGCCTTGCAGTCGGGGAAGGGTGCCACATATACCAGGAGACAACTCGACCAGAGCGACATGAAGAGGTCCACCTCCGGGTGCCCGAACATCTGGCAGAGGCAATGGAACGAGCTGGCATTGACCGTCCATTCCGTGGACAGGGGAATGAAACGGGACAGGTCGTCTGCCAGAACACTGGACACACCCTGGATATGAAACGCCAGGAGAGCCAAACCCCGAGAACTTAGCAGACGAGTCACCTGAAGCGACCAGGCCCAAAGAGCCAAGGACCGCATCGAACCCCCGCGGTTCAGGCAATGAACCACTGGGAGCAGTCTGAATGGAGCCGAATCGTTGATCTGCGAGCAACATGAATCCTTCGAAGCGAAAACTACACCGCCGCGAACTCCCGTGCTATGCTGCAAGCCCGAATGAAAGACGGACTCCACTGTCCCTAGCCAGACTGGTAAGCACTGGTCATAAAACCCCAGCCGAGAGACGACGCATCCGTGAACACACCAAGTGAGGGCTTGGGTAGAGGCCACGGCACTGAACCCCAAAAAACCTGAAGAGAAAGCTGGTGACGCAGCAGCTGACATAAGGCCCCCCAGGGCCCGCACCCGGTCTAATATAAAACACTAATATATAAATATATTATTATAATATATAATATATACTCATATATTATATATTATATATATATTATATTAGTATTAGTATTATTAATATTATTATTATTATTATTATTATTATTATTATTATTATTATATTATTATTATATTATACACTAATATAAAACCCAATAAGCTTCAGGGAGCCGTAGGGGCTCCCCACAGAAAGTGTTTTTTATACATTTTATATTGTGGTTTATACTTTATCTTATCGATCGTATTGGTAATCTTCTTCTTCTTCCATTTGTCCTTATATGCATATATACTGGGAACAATTTGATACCAAAATGAGCGCTCTAACGTGATAATTGATGTTTTCAATTGGAAAAAATACTAAACATTTGTGAGCGGGATAAGGGGGAGAAGTGGGTGGGCCAATATATATATATATTCGCTCACGGGTAATGCATGGCCTGCTTTTGGCTTGGTTGCAGGTGGGGCGCGCCGCAGTTTTGGACATTATATGTATATACTCTTGTAGGGAATAAAATTGCGAACACATTGAACACATTTATTGCTAATGGGTAACGTGCGGCCAATTTCTCGGTTTGGTGCGGGTAATACGCCGGGCTTTTGGACTTTATATGCATATACTCCTACAGGGAATGCTATTGTGAACACATTGATACCCAAATGAAAAACCTAGGATAAGAATTGAGGTGACAAAATTGAAAAAGAGTAAACACTTTTCAGTATTACCGATCACTCACGTGGAATGCCCGGCCCACCTTGGGGTGGTCTGGCACTTGCTCGCCCAAAGCACGAAAGTGTTGAGAAAAAAGTTCATTAGGCAGGTTATGAGGCTTTGGTCTCTTTAGAACCCAGCAGTGGTTTGTTTTGACTCAATGACTTCCTGGGTGCCTTCACCCAGTGAGGTGACAAAATGTCACTGCTCCCACGCCTCTGTGAGGGTAAGCCAGGTTCCGTCCCTGGCAGGATGAAGAACTCCATGGTTGATGCAACCTGATAGATGGGATCCATCTCAGTGTATAGCTTCATGGAGCTTATGGGGCTTCTCTAGTATACCTATTCAAGAGTTCTAAAATTAAATAAAAGGACTACACATAACTGAAATGTGATAGCTACAGTAAAATCACCTTTAAAGACTCCATCCTGGTCTATTCCAGCTTCATCCAACCCTTGCTCATTAATGAAGCGAACTCGTATCATACCCTTCAGGGATCGAGGAGATAGTGACGCTAGCTGTCTATAACCATCTTCTACAAGGCGAGATCTGTATAATAATAAGAAAGCAGTATAAAGATCTAAATTACAATTCAGCTAAAGTGTCAAAGTGAACATATTCTTCCAGACTATTAAGAGCATTACTCTCCATACTCACAAAGTTGATCAGTAAGGCAAGGTTTGTGCCACCACTGACACTCTCCCACAACACACAACTGCACATGATCCAAACTCATCCAGGCCTTATCAGTTGCACTACCCCTTTCATCAACTGCTAGTTAATCTTATCCACATTCATCTCATCTAGACTATGCCCCACACAGATTTTGGGGATATTTGCCCAGAGAATTTTGGGCTATGAACCAATAAATTTTTGGCAGTGTGCCCGGCTCTGCCCAGGCTGAGTGCCCGGCTCTGCCCAGGCTGAGTGCCCGGCTCTGCCCAGGCTGAGTGCCCGGCTCTGCCCAGGCTGAGTGCCCGGCTCTGCCCAGCCAGTGTCCAGCTATGCCTGGTTGATGTGTTTGACAATTTCTGGGCTGTGTGCCAGTTATTCTTGGGTTGGGTACTGGTGGCTTCCTAGGCATGGTGTGCTCCAACGTTTCCTGCCTGATAGTTTTCTAGTGTGTCTCAAAATGCTTTAACCCTTAATCTGCTAACTGTTAATAGCCAACATTCCCCATGTGCCCAAGAAAAAAATTGTTCTGAAAAAATAAATTTTTCTTATGACATTGTTAATTAGCCTTCAGGAAGGACAAAACTCCAAATAAGAAGTGTGTAGCTGTTGTGGTTTAGCTGTAGTGGCCTGGAGAAGTTGTGGTTTAGCTGTAGTGGCCTGGAGAAGTTGTGGTTTAGCTGTAGTGGCCTGGAGAAGTTGTGGTTTAGCTGTAGTGGCCTGGAGAAGTTGTGGTTTAGCTGTAGTGGCCTGGAGAAGTTGTGGTTTAGCTGTAGTGGCCTGGAGAAGTTGTGGTTTAGCTGTAGTGGCCTGGAGAAGTTGTGGTTTAGCTGTAGTGGCCTGGAGAAGTTGTGGTTTAGCTGTAGTGGCCTGGAGAAGTTGTGGTTTAGCTGTAGTGGCCTGGAGAAGTTGTGGTTTAGCTGTAGTGGCCTGGAGAAGTTGTGGTTTAGCTGTAGTGGCCTGGAGAAGTTGTGGTTTAGCTGTAGTGGCCTGGAGAAGTTGTGGTTTAGCTGTAGTGGCCTGGAGAAGTTGTGGTTTAGCTGTAGTGGCCTGGAGAAGTTGTGGTTTAGCTGTAGTGGCCTGGAGAAGTTGTGGTTTAGCTGTAGTGGCCTGGAGAAGTTGTGGTTTAGCTGTAGTGGCCTGGAGAAGTTGTGGTTTAGCTGTAGTGGCCTGGAGAAGTTGTGGTTTAGCTGTAGTGGCCTGGAGAAGTTGTGGTTTAGCTGTAGTGGCCTGGTGAAGTTGCCCATTTTTAGGTGAGGTGCCGCATAGGAATAACTTTGTGGATTTATTGTCATTGTTTCTCACTTTATGTATTTAGTTTTTCATGCTAATAGGTTGCATTTGTGTGTCAAAGGTATTGTCTATTATGTATAACTTTGAAAATATAAGTATGTATGGATATACAAGTATAGATTTAGTCACCCACATACTTATTCATAATAATGTATGTGTATATATATATATATTATAAGCCTAAATCTTAAAATTGCATATAGCACAGATTTTGCCTCAAATATACATACAGTACATAGTAATCACTCATTTGCTGTTGCTAAAAGTTTAGTGTCTCCTCTATGGCTGCCCTAAGCGTTCAGACACTGGATGGTGACGTTGCCAAGCAATGGTCATCATTTTCTTACTAAGGTCCTTGAAGGAAGGTGAGGGACTCAGGATTTTTTTTTCAAGATGGGGGATGGTTACTGGTGGCCTGAGGAAGCAAATGTGACCCCTATGTATGTGCAGGACTATTTTAAATATTTTAAATACTGTATGCAAATCGTATATACGATGTGTGCCTGTCCATGACAGTACTCCAATCGCCTATGTATGTTTTGTGCAACTAAGGGTTAATTTTGTTGCCACTTTCCAGATTTTCTGACACTTTCCAGTCGGCATGTTTGTTACTCATTGTGTTTGGGTGTATCTAGAAGTGGCAAAGCAGCATACCAAGTTGGTAAGGATGATGTAGGGTGCTGGCAGAGCAGCTGCTGACAAACAAATCCTCCATTTTGCCATCAGTATGTCTTTGGATTGTTCGAGAACTAAATTTAATTTGGACATAGTAAGTTTACTGAAACATTAAATGCACACACAAGCTGTAAATGCTGTTGCTCTGTATTTAATACCTTAAATGATACAGTTGAAATATTGTCATATTTGTATGTGATCTAATGTAAATACAGTACTATATCTCCAATTTTCTCCTTACAAATGAATACTTTTGATGTTGAACTCACCTATGTATTGTGATAAGAGTGGAATGAGGTGTGGCACAGGCAGCATCTGTTAGTCCTAACACAGCTTTTTCATTGTTGACATGTTTTCTGAACAGCAGCACTCGCTCGGTGTGAGGGATGATGTGCGGCATTTTCTGCATCAGTACCTGCAAAAGAAAAGCTAAATATCATATCAATTTACCAATATGTACTGTATATAAATTATATATTTACAAATTAATACACAAATACAGTGAAAACTTGCTTGAACAGAACAACAGGTCCAATAAAATATTGGATGCAATGGAAGAATTCCATTTATATTGGCTGATTATATTTTTAGCAGGGCCCTCTGCAACATCACTTCATCTCTTAAACTTCTCGCAAAACAGTATTGAGCTGTATAAATTGCCAGCCACACTTCCGTGGAAATAAACATTCCATTCACCTGGACTGTTTGGGTCTCGAACTGTGGACCTCACACTTGTGAGGTTGTAGCTGATCTATGCTCATAGTAAAGTTGATAGAGCTACGGCCTCACACGCGTGCCGTCCATGGTTCGAGACCCATACAGTCCAGGAGAATGGAGTATTGCGCTGGTTGTTTATCCTGGATTAACAGCCTAGTAGCCCCTTCTCCTGTCTGAACCAGGTTTGGAGTACAAGTTATTCTCCACTATCACGGGACTGCACTGTATGCTCCCCTTTTATTACTACTATCATTACAAAGTTTTTGGATGCTCCAATGTGTATCCTTCATGAAGTGTGTCGGAAAGTGATTTAAGTGATCTACCAGTGTTGTTAGGATGCCATGTGCTATATGATCATATGCTATATATAACACCTCTCAAATGTCTCAAAGACTAGTAAGCTATCTAAGGTGTACTGTACTGTACCAAACTGAGTGTGTGAAACATACTGACATGCACAATGCATTCCTCAAAGAAAATGGAACCTGACAGTGAAGTAGTCGTGACCGACCACATTTAACTTCGTGGGTATCGCTCTGTGAGTGAACCAAATTGGAGGCTGTGAGCATAACCCCCTAAATTCCAAAGAATATTTATATATATGCTTGTGTGGTTGTCTATATTTTCAGTGTTCCATGCCTGTGAGTCTGTACGAACACAAGAGAGCTGTTGAGTACAAGGTGAAGGTTCCACTTGTCTCTTTATAGTAAAAATTCGTAATTCCTGTATTGTTGTGTGTATCTAGAGGTTAAGTTAAATTAATTTATGACTAGTATTTGAGCTACAATTTATTTAGTTAATAGAGAGCAAAATATGTTATAAAGCATTTTATAAATCAGTCAAATAAATGCTCTTAAATCTAAATCAAGATTATATACAATATATAATTATAATGAACACATGCTATCCTTATTACTATGACTTTTTCTTAAGTAAATAATGTACTGTAATTTTCTGTAATCTAATTCAATTAAAAATGTACAACCATTAATGAATAAAGTTGAAAAACTTAAATATGAATTATGGAAAATCTAAACTTTTTAATTAATATTTTCATCAGACAGCTAGTTTTCCCCATCTTGTGACTGGCTGCTTCAGTGATGCTGTTATATGAGCTCACTTATCCACAGCCCACTGATCTGAATAATTGGGTTATTCGGTGAAAATCGTGGCTGGATATTTTTCTGGCGAAACTTTGCCATATCCAAATAGCAATCTGGATAACTGGAGATTTTGCCGGATGCTACAGACAGGCATCGGGTCACACTATTAATCTCATACAGCAGTGGCTCAAGGCGCAGGATTTAGGTGGTGCTGGGGTGGGTGGTTTCACAATAGTTGGTGTCACAGGAGGCAAGCAAAACTCGATTCTTATTTGATAAAAATAGCAAGCCCTGGCCCTTCAACCAATGAAGCCTCACCAGAAAGCCAAAAGCCTTCAACCAGTGATGCTTCAGCAGCTGGCAGTCAAAACTGACCCTGCTAAGCTTATGTACAGTACAGTAATTTTAATCTTGTGTTAGGAAGATTTTCACATAAGCTGCCGACTTCTGTCTGCAGCTTATGTGACCTAGTAGATTGTACACTCTCTGTATATGATAGTTTCAAGAAACCCCAAGGGGTTATTTCCAGAAAAACAGCATTGAATGCAACAAATGCCTCTTTCTGGATGAGCCCCAGTGGTTCCCTAAAATTATCTAGCTGAGAATGCTCCTAAATACTAGGTCACAAAGTTACAGAATTCGGTTTGGCCTACTGGGGACCAGAGCCAGAGCCTGGTCCCCTCAGAGAGGTGCAGAGAGCAGGGAACACTTCACTACCCCACTGGGAAAGCATGCAGAAAGTCAACACACCAGTACAAACTGATGCTGGATTCAAAAGAATCGAAGCCTCAAAAATTGCTGAACAAACTCCCAAGCTATACTGTACTAGTATATACAAGTGAGAGAGAGGTTTAGAGAGAAGAGTCAAAAGATCCTTGAAATATCTGAGGTAAAGCACCCCACCCAAGTAGTCAGGCCTTGAGAGAATGAACTTCAGAACACAGTAAAGAAGTCCTCTCAAATGCTTCTTTAGTTATCAGAACCTGTAGTTTTTTTTTATAAATAGTTCGTAAATAAAATTTGAACTACCTTTTTGTCTTGTATAATAACAATACAGTACATTAAAATTTTTCTCTTGAACTCCACTAGTGAGGAGGTCGGGGAGTGATGTTCCTCTTCCTGTTGTATTTCAGCTCCCCTCTTCCATGAGGGTGTGTTTCTGGAGGTATGTTAGAGTCTCACATTCACCTATCTTTGCCAGTTTGGCATCTTGTCAACCCTGGCAGCATCCTGAGTGGCACTGTTCTGGATCCCACTCTGAAGCCAGGGTTCGTTCTAATTTTGGTATTTGGGGTACTCGACTTGCCATAGCTAGTAGTGGTACCCCTGCTTGGGGTTTTTGCCAAGTCTCCTGCTATTTTGGGTCACTTGTGTGCTTCTCATTCACCCCGGCCCTGTGTCTTCTTCATTCTGTGATATTATCTGGTCACCTGCTTTGGCTTGTTCCTCATTTCACAGCAGGGCAGGTGGGTTTGCCACCAGCCTGCTGTTATGAGGTGTATCTGGCCCTAGTAAGCTTTTTTGTTTCCCTGAGCAGTGGCCCCGACTCTTGGCCGTGGTTGCCAGGGTGTGGCAGCGCTGATTTTTGCCAGACACAGAAAAAATCTTTCTATTTATGGTATTATTCACAAATTATAGCATTAATATTTAAAATGAGGAAAACAAGCAATTCTATGAATTGATAATTTTTGTTAGCCTTTTGTTAGCAAAAATTAATATTTTTGTACCATTTCCTGTTCACCTAAGTGAATTCATTTTTGTGATCTAACATTGCAAATTAAAATACAGTATACTCTAATATGGTACAATATAGATACGAATTTCCTTAAGAAAGAAATAAAATTTTAGACATGACAGACTGCATGCAAGCAAATCCCTTACCTGGGCAGTTCTCTTGCCCCGTTCCAGCTCAGCCATGAATGTGGACACACGCACTTCTTTAATAAGCCAATGAGTGTCAGGGACATAGCTTCTGCGTGAATTTCTCTTGTATAAAAGCATGAGGAGCGTGTGCACCGAGACAAAGAGGGCACTACTTTGGACACTGCGAACATCCACCAAACCATTGTTAATTATCTGCAAGAGAGAGATACTGCGATCAGCACATCAATATATTTCAAATGTCTTTTAATATAACCTCAATTTATCCATCTACACCATTAAGCCGTAGTATTCTCACTAAAATGATCAAAACTTCTACACCATGTAACCTTCAAATGGAAATCTGTCCTTGTTGGATGCAAGAGTTTAAAAGTTGGATTAAAATGTTCTCATTGCCTGAAGTACGCATCAGTAGGACCACAATACTATCTGCATAATAAATGCAAATTTCCATTATTCACAAGGCAAGAGTTAATGGTGTGCAAAAATCAGTCATACAAGGCGTGTTTCCATCCAAGAATGCATTTTTGCATACTGTATTTAGCTTTCCGAACTGATGCACATAAGATAACATGAACAGAGAGTAAACATCCAGAAGATTGCAATTTTTTCAATGATGCATTAAAAAACCAGCGTTGAATGTAATGAAATGCCACTTTCTGGGTGAGCCCCTGGAGGCTCCCTGAAGCTATCAGGCTAATATGTGATATACAGTATTAGTCTAGGGCATTAGTCAATGGAGTTCAGCCTACCGGGGACCACAAGCCAGAACCTGGCCTCTAGAAACTCTCCCCCTGTGGTTGGGGATATTCCTTGTCTGCCATCGATGGAGGCTTAAATGTCTCCATCCCTGTCTTGAATGGGGCAACCCCTCAAAGCTGCCCGAGTCTCCTCACCAACTAAACCCCTGCCCCGACTCTAAATCCCTCAGACATTTGGGAGCCGGCAGTTAACAGGGCAAACCACCCCCACCAGGAAAGGACCTGAAGGTGCAGACTGAACCAAGTCGAAGCAACCAACGTCCCGAGGTCGGGGTCCCTAAACTATAGCAGGGCAGCCCCAGGGTATCTGAGCAGGCAACCAAACTAGCGCATTGCAACAACCTATATCTAACATGCAACGTATGCGGCCTTACTCCTAACAACTTCCGAAGAATCGGTAAACTGGAGTACGAGCGGGGAGCATTTATGGCAAGACTCCGGGTCGAAGGTGTCACCGACCCAACAGGCAGCATGATGGAGACAAAACAGGTGATCCAAGCCCTGACAGGGTTTTCCAGGGCCCGCAGGTGAACAGCCTTCGGGAAGCCCAGGCAACGGTGCTGCAAAGCCAGTTGAGCCCTAATGAGAATGAGGGTGGCAGAGTGGGAAGTGGGCTAAAACTGGACCCCCTGTTAAGTGTACAAGCACGGGGGCCTAAAGGAGGGGTCATCGAAAATACCCTAGGTGGATTAATAATCAAACCAGGCAGACCACAAAAATAAAATAATGCAAGAAACAAAAATAAAAGAAAAACCCTGCACAAGCAAAACAACAGCGAGAGGAGCAGAAAACACAGCTGCTGCTAGATAGGCGAGCTGCACAGCACCTTGCATCCCAACCAGCAACTACAACATTCCCTACCCAGAGCCAAACAAAGGCCATGAAACCCCAGCTGGTCCCAAGGGCAGGGTAAGGGTCTTGCCCAAAGGTTTCGGGCAGGGTTTGCCCAAAAGGCTTTGCATAATAGTGGCTTTAGGCATTGTATGTACTAGCTCTGTCTATAAATTCATCAATATTTGTATCACACCTTGTATGTATATACTTTACCTGAATAAACATTTGAATTTGAATTTGTAAATGCCGAGCAGCAAGGAAACACCCAAGGGCACAAGATCCAGCAGGAAACTGAGGTCAGAGTGCTTCAGTCTATGAATTGAAGAGTGGGAAACTGGTGTAGAGGTCCGGGGGCAGTGGATGACATTTACCTGTTTCCTTGTTTTCTTCTGGGGGAATTCTGTTTCACTGTTCAGTCTTGGGATGCAATTTCCTACCAAGTGGGGTTTGTTTTTGAATGCTTACTTTTCTGGGTGCCTAACCCTGGTCAATGGTAGATATGGAATGGAATACCCCCAAATACAAGGGGGTTTCCTTGGGCTATTGCTCCTTTTGCCTCTCTGAGGGAGCCAGATTCTGGCTCGTGTCCTTGGTAGGCAGAACTCCATTGACTGAAGCCCCAGACTAATATAACGCATATCAGTTCGATAGCTCCAGGGAGCCAAAGGGGCTCCCCACAGAAAACAAGGAATGTAACCTAGCAAAGCAGAGCAAAACACATAAACAACAACAACAACTGGTACAGATTGTCCATGGTGGACATTGCTTACAGCACAATCTAATGACACAGAAATTCACAAGCCCCTAACAACATAGGGCATCACCCTTGCTGCTATATTAGACTTTTGCAGATGGCTTACAAGCTCATGTAAGGGAACGAAATATTTTGTGTAAGGGCATAATCTTGTAAGCCATACTCTAGAGTACAGACTAACAAACCCATACTTACTTTCTTCACTTACAATATAGATATGTTACTTTAAACCAGGGAATATAGAACAAGTGTTACTTATAACACCTTAAACACAAGAGTAACCACAAGGAGCTGGTACCATATTTTTGAATTAGTGGGACTCGACAAAACAATCAGAGTGTGTGCATTATATTTATTAAGACACAGGAAATGGCACAATATGCTAACAAGGAATAACTTCTCACTCACCCAACTAATGACGGTATTCCAGTCACACAGATATAATGGAGGTCAATAACCTCACACTGTGAGGTGGGCCCCTCACTAGCACACACCTGCATTGTGTGTGTGAAGTCTCGATCCTTTCTCTCTCTCTCTCAATCCCCCCCTCTCTCTCAATCCCCTCTCTCTCTCCCCTCTCTCCATCTCTCTCGATCCTCTCTCTCTTGATCCTCCCTTTCTCTCTCTCTCGATCTTCTCTCTCTCTCGATCCTCTTTCTCTCTCTCGATCCTCTATATCTCTCTCGATCGTCTCTCTTTCTCTATCTATCTTCTCTCTCTGTCTCTCTCTCTCTGGATCCTTTCTCTCTCAATCCTCTCTCTCTCTCTCTTTGGATCCTCTCTCTCTCTCTCTATCAATCCTTTTTCTCTCTCTCAATCCTCTTTCTCTCTCTCCCTTTCCCTCTCTCTCTCTCTCTTTATTCTTTATCCTCTCTCTCTTTTTTTCTTAAACCAAGACTAGGATTCATAAGGGATGTTAAATGACATACCTAGTGAAGCTGCAAGCAAGAGCTGTTATCCTACCTCAGCTCATCTGAAGCCTACACCTAGAAACTCATTTATTTCATGAGAGTATACTTTGAAACTAACACATTGGGAACTATCATATATTGAATTTATGTAAGCTAAGTTGAAACCTACTCCTAGAGGCCTATTTATTTCATGAGCCTGTTATTATATGCTTCAGAAGGAATAGCCTTTATTCATTAAAAAACATTAAATAACAATCATATAAGGAACAAGATGAGCTTGTAGCCAACTGTGTAATTACCTAAGTGTAATTACCTAAGTGTAGTTACAGGATGAGAGCTACGCTCGTGGTGTCCCGTCTTCCCAGCACTCTTTGTCATATAACGCTTTGAAACTACTGACGGTCTTGGCCTCCACCACCTTCTCACTTAACTTGTTCCAACCGTCTACCACTCTATTTGCGAAGGTGAATTTTCTTATATTTCTTCGGCATCTGTGTTTAGCTAGTTTAAATCTATGACCTCTTGTTCTTGAAGTTCCAGGTCTCAGGAAGTCTTCCCTGTCGATTTTATCAAGTCCTGTTACTATTTTGTACGTAGTGATCATATCACCTCTTTTTCTTCTGTCTTCTAGTTTTGGCATATTTAATGCTTCTAACCTCTCCTCGTAGCTCTTGCCCTTCAGTTCTGGGAGCCACTTAGTAGCATGTCTTTGCACCTTTTCCAGTTTGTTGATGTGCTTCTTAAGATATGGGCACCACACAACAGCTGCATATTCTAGCTTTGGCCTAACAAAAGTCATGAACAATTTCTTTAGTATATCGCCATCCATGTATTTAAATGCAATTCTGAAGTTAGAAAGCATAGCATAGGCTCCTTGCACAATATTCTTTATGTGGTCCTCAGGTGATAGTTTTCTATCTAGAACCACTCCTAGATCTCTTTCTTTATCAGAATTCTTTAAAGATTTCTCACATAATATATAGGTTGTATGGGGTCTATGTTCTCCTATTCCACATTCCATAACATGACATTTATTAACATTAAATTCCATTTGCCAAGTGGTGCTCCATATACTTATTTTGTCCAGGTCTTCTTGAAGGGCATGACAGTCATCTAAATTTCTTATCCTTCCTATTATCTTAGCATCATCAGCAAACATGTTCATATAATTCTGTATACCAACTGGTAGATCATTTATGTACACAATAAACATCACTGGTGCAAGAACTGAACCCTGTGGTACTCCACTTGTGACATTTCTCCATTCCGATACATTGCCTCTGATTACTGCCCTCATTTTTCTATCAGTCAGAAAATTTTTCATCCATGATAGAAGCTTACCTGTCACCCCTCCAATATTTTCCAGTTTCCAGAACAACCTCTTATGTGGAACTCTGTCGAAAGCCTTTTTTAGGTCCAGATAGATGCAGTCAACCCAGCCATCTCTTTCCTGTAATATCTCTGTGGCCCGATCGTAGAAACTGAGTAAATTCGATACACAGGATCTTCCTGATCGAAAACCATACTGTCTGTCTGATATTATATCATTTCTCTCCAGGTGTTCTACCCATTTAGTTTTGATTAGCTTTTCCAATACTTTCACTATTACACTTGTCAATGATACAGGTCTATAATTGAGGGGGTCTTCCCTGCTGCCACTTTTGTAGATTGGAACTATGTTAGCCTGTTTCCACATGTCTGCTACGATTCCTGTACACAGGGATGCCTGAAAGATCAGGTGAAGTGGAATGCTGAGCTCAGATGCACATTCTCTCAGAACCCATGGTGAAACGCCATCTGGGCCAGCTGCTTTGTTCCTCCCGAGCTCCTTTAGCATATTTTCCACTTCAACTCTAGACACCTCTATCCGCTCTATGTTGTTCTCTGGAATTCTTATTGTGTCTGGTTCTCTGAAGATTTCATTTTGTACAAACACACTTTGGAACTTTTCATTTAATGTTTCACACATTTCCTTTTCATTTTCCGTGAATCTGTTTCCCATTTTCAACCTCTGGATATTATCCTTTACCTGCAATTTGTTGTTTATGAATTTGTAGAATAGGCCCGGTTCTGTTTTACATTTATCTGCTATCCCTTTTTCAAAATTTCTTTCTGCCTCTCTCCTTACTGCTGTATAATTGTTTCTCGCATCTTTGTATCGCTGGTATGTTTGGGGGTTTGGCCTCTTCCTATACTGATTCCATTTTTGTGTCTTTTGGTCTCTTGCCCTCTCACAATTTCTGTCGAACCAATCCTGTTTTCTGGTCCTGCATCTCTGTTTTGGTATGAATGTTTGTGTGCCTTCCTCGTATAGTTTTAAAAATTTGGCATACATTTCATTTACTTCCCTGCCTAGCAACAATTCTGTCCAATTACACTCATTAAAAAAATTTCGAAGTTCCCCATAGTTGCCTCTCTTTAAATCGAGTTTATCAACTGTTTCAATGTCCCCATTTTCTTCTAGATGATATCTTAAAGCATATTTAATGTCTAACAGGACGTGATCACTCTTTCCCAAGGGAGGAAGGTACTGGATGTCAAAAATCTCTTCTTCTTTCCTGGTGAATACTAGATCCAGTACTGACGGTATATCTCCTTCCCTCATTCTTGTGGCTTGCTTTATGTGTTGATACAAGAATGTCTCCAGAATGAGGTTCACAAATCTGCATGTCCAAAAGTCCTCCGTTCTTGCTTCATAGGCCTCCCAGTCTATTGCTCTAAAGTTGAAGTCCCCCAGTATCAACAGTCGTGATTTATCTTTATCTGCTTGTACAATAATATCTCTCATGACCATTATGAGGCCCTCTCGTTTGTCATCCAGTTCTTCCTTTGTCCACGTGTTGCTTGCTGGTGGGCTGTAGGCATTTACAATTATCAGCTTATCATCCTGATTCCAGACCTGCAATGCCATTATGTCAATATCTCGAGGGTTTTCAAATATTAACTCTTTTACCTTCAGGTGTTTTTTCACCAGTACAGCCACTCCTCCTCCCTTCCTAGTTTTCCTGTCACGTCTCCAAACTGAGTAGCCTCTTGGGAATATGACTTCATTTATTATATTTCCTTCAAGTTTCGTTTCTGACACAAGTTTCACAAGAAACACAAGTTTCGTGTGCCAGAGTCTTCATGTGAACGGTTGACCTGATCTTCCGTGTATCAACCTGTTGAGGGAACAAGTTCCAGATGCGAGTCAGCCTCGGAATGAATGAACGCTGATGGAGTGATGTTCTTGAGAATGGCACTTCTAGCATGAGACTGTTGAAGGTTGAGAGCCTAGTGTTACGAGTGGGAACTACTGGTAGTCCACGGAGTTGGGCAAGGTGCGGAACTTTGAGGATGTTGGCCTTATACATAACAGTAAGACCAACAACGTCAAGACGGTGTTGCAGGCTCTGATGTTCAGACCGTTCCCACCAGACTTGGTCAAGACTAGAGATAAGCCTTCTTGCCCGTCTCTCTACTTTGTCCAACAGTCTGACGAAAGATGGGGGGCAGGCAATCCAGGAAAGGGGTGCATACTCTAGATGGGAGCGAACTTGTGCTTCATATAAGGTTTTGCATCCCTTGCTGTCAAGAAGATATGAGATGAGCCATAGTGCTGTAAGTTTCCTGGCTGCCTTTTTAGGAAGGTTTAGCACATAGCTCTTCATTGTCATTGAAGAGTCAAACTTCATTCCCAAGATGTCAAATTCTTCTGTGAACTCTAGGGATTTGCCACCCATTAGCAGTTCTGTCTGATTCGCCATGTGCAGTCTAGTTATCATCATTGCTCGAGTCTTCTCAGCCGCAAATGTGATCTGCCATCTTCTACCCCAGGTAGAAATTGCTGAAAGTTGGTGATTAATGATTCTTGCAGCAGTTAGCATTTCCTCCTTTCTGTATGTAAAGGTTAGAGTACAGTTGTCAGCATAGGCTTGAGCTTCAGGAATGAGATGAAGTAGATCGTTGAAATAAACATTCCACAGCAGAGGGCCAAGAACACTACCCTGTGGAATGCTGGCACCAATTGAGTGGCTATCGGATTCTGCTCCATTGAAGACTACCCTTAGAGTCTGTTCTTGAAGGTAGTCTTTTAATAACACTAAGCCAACAAATCCTCTCTCTCTCTCTCTATAGATCCTTTTTCTCGATCTCCTCTCTCTCTCTCTCTCAATCCTCTATCCTCTCTAGCTCTCTCTCTCTCTCTCTCTTGATCCTCTCCCTCTCTCTCTCTGGATCCTCTCTCTCTCTCTCTCTCTCTCTCTCTCTCTCTCTCTCTCTCTCTCTCTCTCTCTCTCTCAATCATCTCTCTCTCTCTCTCTCTCTCTCTCTCGATCCTCTCTCTCTCTCTCTCGACCCTCTCTCTCTCTCTCTTTTCTCTCTCTCTCTCGATCCTCTCTCTCTCTCTCTCTCTCTCTCTCTCTCTCTCTCTCTCTCTCTCTCTCTCTCTCTCGATCCTCTCTCTCTTTTCTCTCTCTCTCTCTCTCTCTCTTTTCTCTCTCTCTCTCTCTATCCTCTCTTTCTCTCTCTCTCTCTCTCTTGATCCTCTCTTTCTCTCTCTTTCTTGATCCTCTCTCTCTCTATCCTCTCTTTCTTGATCCTCTCTCTCTCTATCCTCTCTTTCTCTCTCTCTCTCCTCTCTCTCTTTTCTCTCTCCTCTCTCTCCTCTCTCTCTTTTCTCTCTCTCTCCTCTCTATCCTCTCTCTCTCTCTCTCTCTCTCTCTCTCTCTCTCTCTCTCTCTCTCTCTCTCTCTCTCTCTCTCTCTCTCTCTCAATCCTCTCTCTCTCTCTCTCAATCCTCTCTTTCTCTCTCTCTCTCGATCCTCTCTCTCTCTCTATCCTCTCTTTCTCTCTCTCTCTCTCTCCTCTCTCTCTTTTCTCTCTCTATCCTCTCTCTCTCTCTCTCTCTCTCTCTCTCTCTCTCTCTATCCTCTCTTTCTCTCTCTCTCAATCATCTCTCTCTCTCGATCCTCTCTCTCTCTCTCTCTCTCTCTCTCTCTCTCTCTCTCTCTCTCTCTCTCTCTCTCTTGATCCTCTCTCTCTCTCTCTCTCTATTCCCTCTTTCCCTCTATCCTCCCTCCCTCCCTCCCTCTCTCTCTCTCTCTCTATTTCCTCTTTCCCTCTATCCTCCCTCCCTCCCTCCCTCTCTCTCTCTCTCTGTTCTTGTTGGTGCAAGGATGCTAATCTCCCAAAAATGTGCTCATAAACTTCACACACACAAAAGCATATACATTTACTAATGCTCAATTTAATATGCTCTCAAACATGTTGAGAACATGTTAACTACAAATGAAAATGAAAAATACAAATGAAACATAAAAATTAACACAAATATAAAACAAACTGGTATTTTAACCAAGAGACACATTTACACCAATAACAATAATAGCTAGACTTTATGTACCAGTCATTACATATGCTCCCTGTGTCTCTATGAAAGGGCCAGTTTAGGTTTTGGTCTCTGGTAGCCTATTAAGGACTCCTGGGACTAATGTGACATACGTACGTACGTACATGTGTGTGGGGGGAGGGGGGAGGGGGGAGGGGGGAGGAGGGGGGGAGCTATCTGAGTACAACTAAATAAAGGGAGCCACTATTTGACTCCTCCAGAAACATATGTTCCTACCCTCCATCACTCACCTTTCTTGAGGGCCCATCTAAACTGCACAGGATTATAAACATGATTAACATACCTTGTAAGTAAAATTATTGAGGAATGATGCCATAGTTGAGTAGTCAACAAGACTGAAAGGCTTCTGCTGTTCATACATCTCCAAATCATCAAGCACCCTGCAACAAGTAATCTGTGTGTATATATGTACTGTGCAGTGTATTAATCACTTTTCATTTCCAAGTTATTGGCACTATACATTTGTTTACTATTAACCTGAAATTAATTTTAAGTATGGTACAGCATATGCCATTAAGCACTATTCACTACTACAAGGCATTCAGTTTTAATAACAATAAAGTTCTGGCAACATGTGAGCCACAAACTGAATCTGTTTAGTTTTAGTTGACCCAAGTCCTTTAAACATCTATCTGTTTTGAAGACATGTACTAAATATGAGCAAGGCAAACATACGTGAATGTTAAGTGTAGGAATGAGCCAAACTGATAATGCTATTAGTCAAAATACTTTGTCACTTAAGGCCAGATTTTCTCAATTCATTGAAATCACAAGCCTTGAAATTATGTAAACTAATTGTTCTGTCAAGACTGGAAATAAACCAAAATCCAGCTATTTTCACATGTCATTCATACATCAATGCTTTTTAGAGAAATTGGATTGCACGTTGACCAGACCACACACTAGAAATTGAAGGGACGACGACGTTTCGACAATCGACTTGAGAATGGTCCAGGACGGACCGAAACGTCGTCGTCCCTTCAATTTCTAGTGTGTGGTCTGGTCAACATACTTCAGCCACGTTATTGTGACTCATCGCCTGCATTTGGATTGCACAGTTAAAAATTCAGTCCCATAGGAGTGCTAAGAAGATAACAAATCACATGGAATCACAACATCTACATAACTCCATACAACATGGGTTCGGAACAGGGTGCTCCTGTCTCTCAAAATGTAATTGCTGGATCACTATGACATGGCCTTAGATGCCAAGGAAGAAAAACAAGGCACATGAGTAAAATACACAGACTTTGCAAAAGCTTTTGAGAAATGTGACCACGGTGTTAGTGCACACAAAATATACTCAAAAGAAATTACTGGTAAAGTAGGGAGATGGAACTATAAGTTCCTAATGGACAGAACCCAGAGTGTAATCAATAAATTAAATCTGGATCATTCACAGTGGAAAGCTCAGTCCCCCAAGGTACCGTGTTTACTCCGGTACTTTTCCTCATTCTCATTTCAGACACAGATAAAGATACAAAATATGGTCTACCTACGAACTTTATTACACACAGAAATCACAATAGCGTGATGCATCAAATGAACAAATCCACAAGGGCCATGATGAGGGTTCGAACTTACGCCCAGGATGATCCCAGAGGCTGCCTTAGTCAACAAGGCCACGACATGGTTTAACCACGTCGTGGCCTAGTCGACTAAGGCAGCGTCTGGGATCGTCCCGGGCATAAGTTAGAACCCTCATCACGGCCCTTGTGGATTTGTTCATTTACATACATACTCTGTTTCTACCATGTGTAACTTGTAATACAATGTTTAAGATAAGTTCCAGCTCCTACGCTATGGAAAAAGAGAGAAACTATAAAAACAGAAACCATATATAAAACAGTCAAATCACACTATAAAACGAAAAATCAATGTAAAGGATGTAGGAGTAATCATGTCGGAAGACCTTACCTTTAAAGAACACAATTAAGAAGCTGTCACTACTGCAAGAAAAATGACAGGTTGGATAACAAGAACTATTAAAACAAGGTATGCCATACCAATGATGATACTTTTCAAGACACTAGTGCTCTCTAGGATGGAATACTATTGCACACAAACAGCTCTATTCAAAGACGAAGAAATTGCTGACCTGAAGAATGTTCACAGAGCCTTTACTGTTGGAACCCACTCAATAAAACATCTAAGCTCTTGGGACCAATTCAAAGTTCTAAATCTGTATTCTCTTGAGTGCAGGCAAAAGATATGGAGAATAAATTATAAGTTGAAAATATTAGAGGGACTGGTCCAAATCTGCACACAGAAATAACATCACATGAAATCAGTAGGCATGGCAGGATGTGCAAAATAGCCACACTGAAATGAAGAGATGCAGTAGCTACACAGAGAGAACTTCATCAACATCTTTACTCAGTCGATATGGTGTAGTGGTAAGGCACTTGCCTGGCATTTCGTTAGTGCTTTGTCCTGGATTCGTATCGTGGCCGGGGAGGATTTACTGGGCATCAATCCTTAACTGTAGCCTCTGTTTACTCAACAATAAAATGGGTACCTGGTTGCTAAATGATTTGGCGGGGGTCATATTCCGGGGAACATAGGATTAAGGACTTGTCCGAAACACTATGCGTGATAGTGGCTGTACAAGAATGTAAGAACTCTTGTACTGTATATATAAATAAAAATAAAAAACATCAAAGGCACAAGATTTTTTAACACAATCCTGCTACAAACAAGGAGCATAACAGGCCAGCCTCTCATTGTGTTCAGGCAACCTGTCCTCTAACAAAGAATGTCGCATTTCGCTCATATGCGTTACGTTAGACCAAAAATTATCATACTAGAAAATGGAAGCAGCTCGCAAAAGTGACACACTGTCCCATTTTCTGTTTTGGCTCCTCTGGTAGGTTAGGAGGGAAAACTTTAATTTGGCCATTTTCTTGACGTTGGGAAACCCTAGGAGGACGGGCTGGTTCAAGAGGGAACTCGATAAACATCTTCAAAAGAGTTTATCGAGGTATTCAAAGGATACTGATCACCAGGCTGTGAGCAGCCACATCCTGGTTGACCAGATGACCGACCAGCAGGCCTGGTCAGAGACCGGCCTGCGGGGACATTAATCCTCGGAACCACCGCAAGGTAACCACAAGGTAGGCACTACCCTCCTCAACAGTCTGCTAATTTCATTACATGATTCAGTGTAAGTATCCTTTTGAATACCAGAAATATCACTAAATATAGCTGTGATTGTGAAGCCAAATTATCAGTGTATGGACAGCTTCCTATATCAGATTGATTCTTTTAAACCCAATTTGATCAAATATACTTCACTGTATGCTATAAATATGATATTCAGAAGAGTTTTTTTAATTACTGTGAGGGGGAGAAAAAGATTATAAATTATTATTATTATAAAGAGAAAGACACTAAGAAACTTACGTAACAACATGAGTTGTTGCATCACAAAACAGGATGAGCAAATGAAATTCAGGTGCTGTAGCTTTTGTTGAAACTGACAACAGGTCTAAATAACTCTTGATTCCACAGGATGGCCCAAGTGAGAGCAGGATATGCCATAGTTGAGGCACCATTTCACTCTTGTAGCATAATCCTAGAAATCATAAGTTGCAAACCTTAATAAAATGCAGCCAGTCCTCCAAAAATGGGGAGGTAAATGTAACAGCACAAGTAAGTGTAATTATGTACTATTCCTAGCAGTCAGGAATTGTACTTATTTTCACTTAGTATTAAAATGTACTGTCAAATATATTGTGAATACAGTACAGTATTTGAGTTTACCTGAAAAGCTGAATAGAAAACCACGACCTAACCTAACCTTCTTAGTTTTTTGAAGATAAGCATTTTACTGCTTCTTAATTATAATTAGTACTTGCTACTGACGGTTTTGCCTCCACCACCTTCTCACTTAACTTGTTCCAACCATCTACCACTCTGTGAAAGTGAATTTTCTTATATTTCTTCGGAATCTTTGTTTAGTTAGTTTAAATCTATGTCCTCTTGTTCTTGAAGTTCCAGGTCTCGGGAAATCTTCCCTATCGATTTTATCAATTCCAGTTACTATTTTGAATGTAGTGATCATATCACCTCTTTTTCTTCTGTCTTCTAGTTTTGGCATATTTAATGCCTCTAACCTCTCCTCATAGCTCTTGCCCTTCAGTTCTGGGAGCCACTTAGTAGCATGTCTTTGCACCTTTTCCAGTTTGTTGATGTGCTTCTTAAGATATGGGCACCACACAACCGCTGCATATTCTAGCTTTGACCTAACAAAAGTCGTGAACAATTTTTTTAGTATTTTGCCATCCATGTATTTAAAAGCAATTCTGAAGTTAGAAAGCATGGCATACGCTCCTCGCACAATGTTCTTCATGTGTTCCTCAATGGATAGTTTTCTATCTAGAATCACCCTAGATCTCTTTCTTCATCAGAATTCTTTAAAGATTTCTCACATAATTTATAGGTTGTGTGGGGTCTATGTTCTCCTATTCCACATTCCATAACATGGCATTTATTCACATTAAACTCCATTTGCCAAGTGGTGCTCCATATACTTATTTTGTCCAGGTCTTCTTGAAGGCCATGACAATCATCTGAGTTTCTTATCCTTCCTATTATCTTAGCATCATTAGCAAACATGTTCATATAATTCTGTATACCAACTGGTAGATCATTTATGTAGACAATCAACATCACTGGTGCAAGAACTGAACCCTGTGGTACTCCACTTGTGATATTTTTCCAGTCCGATACATTGCCTCTGATTACTACCCTCATTTTTCTATCAGTCAGATAATTTTTCATCCGTGTTAGAAGCTTACCTGTCACCCCTCCAATATTTTCCAGTTTCCAAAACAACCTCTTATGTGGAACTCTGTTGAAAGCCTTTTTTAGGTCCAGATAGATGCATTCAGCCCAACCATCTCTTTCCTGTAAAATCTCTGTGGCTCGATCGTAGAAACTGAGTAAATTCGATACACAGGATCTTCCAGATCGAAAACCATACTGTCTGTCTGACATTATACAATTGTGTATAGGGAATTGAACGTGAAAAAGTCATCCTAAAATTCTGAGTGTCTTGACATAAAACGAGAAGAATAAATGGGAAGGTAAATGTAATGGCACAAGTAAGTGTAATTATGTACTATTCCTAACAATCAGGAAATGAACTTATTACACTTACTATTAAACCGTACTGTCAATTCGGAGTATGGGTTGATAAAATTAATAGGGCAGCAGAGATGCTGCACTAATTACAAATACTATATATCTGTAGACTCTGACAAAAATGTGAAAACAAAAGTGTCATTTTAATTACCTCTTCAGTTTGACACTAGAACACAGGAGATAATAGTACATAGCTACAATGTTAATTCCAAAATACTAAAAACTAAATTTTACATTATTTTGAATTATCACAGCCATGGTTTCTAGGCTGTCCCTCAGTAGCTCTCTGATGCAGTGACTTTAGTACCACGAAGACACCCACAGCTCTACCAGGCACCTGGCCTACTGGCCCCCTAAACCAGAATTTGGTGTGCTCATAGAGGCAGGAGGAGCGTACTGATCTAAGATTAACCTCACATCTGAATAACAACCCAACATTGAGTGTAATAAAATGCCTCTTTCTGGATTGGGCCCCAGCAAGTCCAGTCACTTGTGTGGCTTGAGATGGTCTCCAGCAATACGATAAGTGCAGTATTGCACCTATTCCTAAACCTTTGTGTGGGTTAGGAATAGGAAGTTGTATAAATAAGGATTTCTAGAACCCTGTGTAATTACCTAAGTGTAATTACCTAAGTGTAGTTACAGGATGAGAGCTACGCTCGTGGTGTCCCGTCTTCCCAGCACTCTTTGTCATATAACGCTTTGAAACTACTGACGGTCTTGGCCTCCACCACCTTCTCACTTAACTTGTTCCAACCGTCTACCACTCTATTTGCGAAGGTGAATTTTCTTATATTTCTTCGGCATCTGTGTTTAGCTAGTTTAAATCTATGACCTCTTGTTCTTGAAATTCCAGGTCTCAGGAAGTCTTCCCTGTCGATTTTATCAATTCCTGTAACTATTTTGTATGTAGTGATCATATCACCTCTTTTTCTTCTGTCTTCTAGTTTTGGCATATTTAATGCTTCTAACCTCTCCTCGTAGCTCTTGCCCTTCAGTTCTGGGAGCCACTTAGTAGCATGTCTTTGCACCTTTTCCAGTTTGTTGATGTGCTTCTTAAGATATGGGCACCACACAACAGCTGCATATTCTAGCTTTGGCCTAACAAAAGTCATGAACAATTTCTTTAGTATATCGCCATCCATGTATTTAAATGCAATTCTGAAGTTAGAAAGCATAGCATAGGCTCCTTGCACAATATTCTTTATGTGGTCCTCAGGTGATAGTTTTCTATCTAGAACCACTCCTAGATCTCTTTCTTTATCAGAATTCTTTAAAGATTTCTCACATAATATATAGGTTGTGTGGGGTCTATGTTCTCCTATTCCACATTCCATAACATGACATTTATTAACATTAAATTCCATTTGCCAAGTGGTGCTCCATATACTTATTTTGTCCAGGTCTTCTTGAAGGGCATGACAGTCATCTAAATTTCTTATCCTTCCTATTATCTTAGCATCATCAGCAAACATGTTCATATAATTCTGTATACCAACTGGTAGATCATTTATGTACACAATAAACATCACTGGTGCAAGAACTGAACCCTGTGGTACTCCACTTGTGACATTTCTCCATTCTGATACATTGCCTCTGATTACTGCCCTCATTTTTCTATCAGTCAGAAAATTTTTCATCCATGATAGAAGCTTACCTGTCACCCCTCCAATATTTTCCAGTTTCCAGAACAACCTCTTATGTGGAACTCTGTCGAAAGCCTTTTTTAAGTCCAGATAGATGCAGTCAACCCAACCATCTCTTTCCCGTAATATCTCTGTGGCTCGATCATAGAAACTGAGTAAATTCGATACACAGGATCTTCCAGATCGAAAACCATACTGTCTGTCTGATATTATATCATTTCTCTCTAGGTGTTCTACCCATTTAGTTTTGATTAGTTTTTCCAATACTTTCACTATTACACTTGTCAATGATACAGGTCTATAATTGAGGGGGTCTTCCCTGCTGCCACTTTTGTAGATTGGAACTATGTTAGCCTGTTTCCACCCGTCTGCTACGATTCCTGTACACAGGGATGCCTGAAAGATCAGGTGAAGTGGAATGCTGAGCTCAGATGCACATTCTCTCAGAACCCATGGTGAAACGCCATCTGGGCCAGCTGCTTTGTTCTTACCGAGCTCCTTGAGCATTTTTTCCACTTCGTCTCTAGACACCTCTATGTGTTCTATGTTGTTCTCTGGAATTCTTATTGTATCTGGTTCCCTAAAGATTTCATTTTGTACAAACACACTTTGGAACTTTTCGTTTAGTGTTTCACACATTTCCTTTTCATCTTCCGTGAATCTATTTCCCATTTTCAACCTCTGAATATTATCCTTTACCTGCAATTTGTTGTTTATGAATTTATAGAATAGACCTGGTTCTGTTTTACATTTGTCCGCAATCCCTTTTTCAAAATTTCTTTCTGCCTCTCTCCTCACTGCCGTGTAGTTGTTTCTCGCATCTTTGTATCGCTGGTATGTTTGGGGGTTCGGCCTCTTCCTGTATTGATTCCATTTTACACACCAATTGTGTGTAGGTGGTGTTGTGTGATATTAATTCAGTCACTCAGTCCTCAGACATGTGGTCTTACCTCCATATACTTCATTCCACCCTTTATGTGTATTGTGGTCAGAACAGTGTATTAATAAGAATCCTGCCCCTTGGAGTCACCCGGGAGGAGTTGAATATATTGATAATTTTGAGTCCGAGTGTAAAGACTTGGCCTATTGTGTGTGGATCCATTTGTCAATTGTCTCCCGAGGCTTGTGTTTGCTTGAAGGTCCCTCCCCCCCCCACCCTTCCCCTTTTCTCTGTACAATCTTGTGTTTGCTCCAAGAACCCTTCCCCCCCCTCTATCTAGTTCATGTAAGATAATTATGTGTTGTTAAATAAAAACCTTTTATAAAATTGCACCCTAAGGTGTATTTCTTGTCTCATGTAGAATAGAGTTGATTGTTGCTGCTAGATATTACATATATCTTCCCATTTCTTATAAGAGAGTAAGAGCAGGTCGGCTGAGCGGACAGCACACTGTACTTGTGATCCTGTGGTCCTGGGTTCCATCCCAGGTGCCGGCAAGAAACAATGGGCAGAGTTTCTTTCACCCTATGCCCCTGTTACCTAGCAGTAAAATAGGTACCTGGGTGTTAGTCAGTTGTCATGGGCTGCTTCCTGGGGGTGGAGGCCTGGTCAAGGACCGGGCCACGGGGACACTAAAGCCCCGAAATCATCTCAAGATAACCTCAAGATAATCAAGGGTGTTAACGATACTTTAGGGTACATCTTTCAATCCCATACCTTACACAATATGAACCCCACATCCATCAATCAATTAACCTGGAAGGGAAGGAGGTTGCAAGGCAGCCACTGGGGCTCCCTAACTGGAGATCCGCCAATGCCATATGATGAGGTAACAGTATTAGGTAAAAGATGCTGGTTCTGAGTGATACCACCTCCACCAATCCTTCTTGCACACACAATGGACAATTGCCTCTGCCTGTCATTTTGTAGTTCCAATACCATCGGATTTAAATTTGATATACACAGTAGATATAAAATTCAAATCTGATGGTGTTGGAAACATATTTAAGACCTATATTTAATAATGGTTTTCAATCATGCAATGTTCTTTTCTCAGTTTATCCTTGACACTTCAGTAATGTTTTATACATTTCAAAGCCTCCGGTCACACAGAAGTACAAGCTATGAATGTATGGATGAGCTTTGCTCCTAGGAAACTTCCTGCCAGTATTTTCAAACCTAATACTGTATAATGTGTCAATATATTTTTGTTAACTAATTCACCAGTATTTATGACTTTTACATGGTTAATGAGTCACTACAATGAAAACAAGGACTAAATGGGACCCATTCCATAGACTGCAGTTCACCTCCATTCCCCGTGAGTTTCCCTCATTTATAGTTCTCTGTGGTGACAAGGCAACAAGAAGCCACCACAGGAGCCCTCCAAGAAAACCAGTGTCGAGTATAATGAAGCCTCCCTTTCTGGCAAGTTCTTAGAGCAGAGACTTTCAACCTTTTCGACTTGGGACACTCTGAACAAGGAGAGTCTAGCCAAACAGTGAGCTGGGCTCCGTTCCTTGGGGCTGGCTCGGTGCTTGCCGATGACGTCACAGAAAGCTCGTCGCTGATTAGCTGAACACCTGAGCCCTCACCAGCCATCTCTTAAGTAACATAAGTTCTAGACATGTGCTGCTGCACTCCAAAAGTTCCGAATGTGTCACTATCTGCCCGGGCACCATTTTGTTTTGCAATCTGTCACAATTCACCTCTTTACATCCAAATATCATGTGAGATTGTATGTAAGACTTGTTCCTTCTTAACTTAAATTACAGCTGGGCCATCTGTGATCTTTCTAGGTGGGTAAAAATGACTCTTGAGGACAGACAGGACAGTTATTAGACGACGATCATAATACTTCTCATCTAAAACAGAGAGATTTAATAGTTGTTAACATACTGCACTCTAAACTGCTCTATTTATAACTTGCCTGGAAAGTAAGCTTACACTAAGCCAGAGCAAAGAAATGAAGGTCTTAGCAGTCACTCACCTGTAAGAATATCCATCCTTAATTGTGAAAGAGTTGTGATTGCTGTGTGATACATAGAGCACACCATGGCCACGGTAGATACTGTTGGGGAACCTAGCTTTCGGCAACCTCCACCACGTAGACCTCCACTTCTGAGGGATCCTCCAGTGACAGTGGAACAAAGCTTACGATCTAGTGCTTTCTTCAGGAAATTTGAAGGGGCAAAAGAACCTATGTTGCTGAAGGAAGAGGCTGCAGAGGATGCAGCATTTCCTGAATTTACGTTGGAGTCACTTTGTGATGGTTCCTGATTAAGGGAACAAAGCAATATACAGTACTGTAAATGGCTGCAAAAATGTAACAAAGAAGAGCTACTCTTAAGAATTAACAACTTAACAAAATATTACTGATATTATCAAACAAATAATACTCCTTTTAAGTTCTGTTCTAAATAAGGAGAGATTCAATCAATTTCTGAATTAAAATAAGGCAATAAAACTGAAACACTTCTTTGTGAGTGACCCTTTTGTTATTTCCTGTTGCAACGCATCCTCATATTCTTTTGCAAATTCGAATAACCCATAAATAATGCATTGTAGAAGTAAAAATTAAGGCATTGAAATACTAGTATTTACATTTCCTATGCACCATCCTTGACAGGTCAGGTGGGTTGCTCGGGTTTATTTCTGGTCATGGAAAATAGTTGTCTTTCTTTACTGAACGGCAAAATCGAGAGAACGAACCAATAACCCAACCTAGTGCCAAGGTGCCTAAGTATTACCCAAGATAATGCTGATGCTCCATGTAGTTTGGGAAGAAAGACAGTGAAGCATCTTGATTAAACTACCACTAAAAGAGACTGCTTTTTATGGCATCAAAGAGCAGAACAAGCCTATGAGCACATCCAAGCAATAATTGGAAACATGAGGAAAGGCAGTGATCACATTGTTATCTTCTGAACAAACTAGCCATGCCCAGAACCCACCAGGTGACAGTCAGGTCACAAATACAGAACAGGAGGAGCTGGAAATGCACACTTTAAGCCAAGGTCATTCAAGCCCCCTCTCATGTTCTCAGAGCCAAGCTCTTGCTCTTGTCTTGCTATGGGGCAGGTGGGTGGGCAAGAGCTATGGGGCAGGTGGGTGGGCAAGAGCTATGGGGCAGGTGGGTGGGCAAGAGCTATGGGGTAGGTGGGTGGGCAAGAGCTATGGGACAGGTGGGTGGGCAAGAGCTATGAGGCAGGTGGGTGGGCAAGAGCTATGGGGTAGGTGGGTGGGCAAGAGCTATGGGACAGGTGGGTGGGCAAGAGCTATGGCACAGGTGGGTGGGCAAGAGCTATGGGGCAGGTGGGTGGGAGTTTTGTGGTGTGTGGGAAGGAGTTTTCAGGTGGATGAGACTTTTCATGCTGGTGAGAGTTGTCTGAAAGGCAAGTGGGAGTTTCAGGCAGGCAAGCATCGAGTTATAGTGCAGGTGGACAGACAGGAGTTATCGGAAAGACAGACAAATGGAGGTAACTGTGAGGGCAGACAAGCAGTATTGGCAGGGCAGATGGAAGTTATCAGGTGGGAGGACAGAGATCGAGAAGGGGTGAGGAAGGGCTGGGGAAGGGGTGTGGGAGGGAGGGATTGGACAGACATGGGCAGTATGTGTTCACTCGTTCTACTTAGCCCAGTAAGCTATGAACACAAAAGAAAAACTGTCACATGAGGTCTTTTGTGCTATTTATATTACAGTTCAAGCTCAGTAAAACATTCAAAAAATATAAATGCATTATTTTGAATAATAATTATAAATAAAAAAGCAAGATTAAGTAAAATTTAAATTTTATGAAAATAATTTTGCAAGATGGATTTGGCCTGGATTTTCACAAAATCTGCTATTTTGTGGTTCGGATTTTAGGAATGCGTCTGTACAGTACATTATCACACAAATTAAATACTGTATTACTTACTTGATCTACAACATTGGAAAGATATGAAAACATAACTTTAATAATTGAGCTTGACCAAAGGAGCTGGAGCTGTGATTTAACCAAAGTTAAAGACTCGTTGAGGTGCTGGTCAAGGGGACGTGAGAACCAGCCAAGCACAGGGTGCCACTGCGTCAGGCTACTCTGCTTCGTTGTCACATATTCTCCGCACTTCTCCAGCAGACGTTTCACCACAAACTGACGAAAGCTTGACATTAGGCTACAAGATGCACAATGGCACAGTATGCTGTACAATTAATGAAATATTATAGATACAATTTTCCTAGAAATTTAAGTTACAATTTACCTCAGCATTTACTTTAATCACTTCAATATTACCTACAATTAACATACTAAATAACAGAGCACACACACACAGGGACAGATTATTTGCTGAGAAAACTAGCATTGAATGTAATGAAACACCAATGAGCCCAGGTGTGTGAGTGGATGTGCTGTGTGTGGGTTAGTGAGTGAGTGAGTGAGTAATTACCTAAGTGTAGTTACAGGATGAGAGCTATGCTCGTGGTGTCCCGTCTTCCCAGCACTATTTGTCATATAACACTTTGAACACTTTGAAACTACTGACGGTATTGGCCTCCATCATCTTCTCACCTAATTTGTTCCAACTGTTTACCACTCTGTGAAAGTGAATTTTCTTATATTTCTTTGGCATTTGTGTTTAATTAGTTTAAATCTATGTCCTCTTTTTCTTGAAGTTCCAGGTCTTGGGAAATTTTCCCTATCAATTTTATCAATTCCAGTTACTATTTGTACGTAGTGATAATATCACCTCTTTTTCTTCTGTCTTCTAGTTTTGGTATATTTCATGCCTCTAACTTCTCCTCGTAGCTCTTGCCCTTCAGTTCTGGGACCCACTTAGTAGCATGTCTTTGCACCTTTTCCAGTTTGTTGATGTGCTTCTTAAGATATGGGCACCACACAACCGCTGCATATTCTAGCTTTGGCCTAACAAAAGTCGTGAACGATTTCTTTAGTATTTCCCCATCCATGTATTTAAAAGCAATTCTGAAGTTAGAGAGCGTGGCATAGGCTCCTCGCACAACGTTCTTCATGTGGTCCTCAGGTGATAGTTTTCTATCTAGAACCACCCCCTAGATCTCTTTCTTTATCAGAATTCTTTAAAGATTTCTCACATAATTTATAGGTTGTGTGGGGTCTATGTTCTCCTATTCCACATTCCATAACATGGCATTTATTAACATTAAATTCCATTTGCCAAGTGGCGCTCCCTATACTTATTCAGTCCAGGTCTTCTTGAAGGGCATGACAATCATCTAAGTTACTTATCTTCTCTATTATCTTAGCATCATCAGCAAACATGTTCATATAATTATAATTCTGTATTCCATCCAGTAGATCATTTATGTAGACAATGAACTGAACCTTGTGGTACTTAGCTTGTGACATTTCTCCAGTCCGATACACTTCCTCTTATTACTGCCCTCATTTTTCTATCCGAAAATTTTTCATCCATGTTAGCAGCTTACCTGTCACCCCTCCAATGTATTCCAGTTTCCAGAACAACCTCTTATGTGGAATTCGGTTGAAAGCCTTTTTTAGATCCAGATAGATGCAGTCAACCCAACCATCTCTTTCCTGTAAAATCTCTGTGGCTCAATCATAGAAACAGTAAATTTGTTACACAGGATATTCCAGATCGAAAACCAAAAACGGTCTGATATTATATTGTTTCTCTCCAGGTGTTCTACCCATTTAGTTTTAATTATTTTCTCCAATATTTTGACTATTACACTTGTCAACGATACAGGTCTATAATTGAGGGGGGTTGTAACATGGGGGGTGGGGGGTATCGGCCCTCTCCGTCCTTCACCCCTTACCTCAACCCGTATTCTGATTTATTTCTCTTCAATCCAAGGGAACCCCAGAGCTACTCTAAGCCAAATCCCACACCCTGCGATCTTAAGCCGTTTGACCGGCTAAGATTCTACAGCCTCACTACGTGGAACTAGACCCCTAGCAAACTCTAGAATCTCCTTTACGCCGCCGCCACCACCAGACCATTAACACAGGGAGCAATAACCGGGGTCTGGACCGATTATGCTCTCAATAAACCTTGGGACCTTCTTTTTTCTCTATGATATTCATCTCTTCTGCTGCTCTGTCCACCCTAGATTAAATTTCCTTCTCTAAACATCCAAAAATTATTATGGACTTACTTCTTTCTGCAGTTTTGTACTAGTTTACTGTTGGTTACCAGTTCTTTCATAATTGCTTGCCTAATTTCTGCTTCTTGTCGGTCATTTCTGGTTTTGACCTCCACACAATTCCTTGATTATCTCTCTCTTTTACAAGTTGTGCATATGTCTCTTTTATTTCTTCTTTATACTTTTCTATTTCTTTACTAACCTCCTCTATGTGAGTTGTCAATGAAATTTCCAGTTGCAGATCCTTACCTAACTCTATGTTAGCCCTCTGAGTTCCTTGGAGTTGTTCCCCATATGAGTCTATTTTCATGTTTATTTCTTCAAATTCCCTACTCTTCACTTTCCATGTCTTATTATCCTTTACTAGTTCCTTGATGTGTTCCTCCTGCATCCTTACCTTATCAGTCAAGCTGGTAATTTCCATACCTTGTTGGAGAATACTTCCTTTTAAATTACAAAACTCAATCTTGAGATCTTCTTTTCCTTGTTCTAATTTAATTACCTTTTCATAATTCTTTAGCATGTCCTCAATAATCACTAACCTGTCAAGAAAACCACCTTTCATTAAATCTTGTTATATATGTTCATTACATCTTAAGTGAGTAAGTGAGAAAAACAAAATTTAGCATTGATAGATTGAGTCGAGAGGCAGGCCGAAAGAGCAGAGCTCAAACCCTCGCAAGCACAGCTAGATGAATACAACTAGGTGAATACCCTCAGTTCTAAGATGATAGAAACACCCCTGATGCCCTGGTGGAGGTAGGGTGTCAGGGAGCCACCAGGACTTGCCCAGAAATTGACTTCTCATAATATTCAATGCTGGTTTTCTGGTTAGAGCCTCTTGTGGGTTCCTGAAGCTATCTACCCACAGAAGAGGAACTAAAATGGGCACCAACCAGGAAGGAGGGACATCAAGAAAGATAGAGAAATGAAGAAATAAAGCCCAATCAACCAAGAATGCCAGACAGCAGACAACAACACTGCACCGGCAGACACTTTTATCACAGTGACACTACTTTCTGTGCCTCTCTGAGGGGGGCCCAGGTTTTTGGTTCATTGTCCCCGGTGGGAAAATAAGAACTCCATGAATGATGGCACCTCATAGTTTGACCCTGTATTAGTGTAGTAACTTCAGGAAGCCACAAGAGGCTCACCCCCCCCCCCCCCCATAAGGAGACTAAAAACAGCTATGGCCCCAACCCTAAAGTAGGGGGCAGAAACAAGTCTGCCATGCCATAACTGGGGAAGACACGACAACTGACCTACAAATGGATATAAATCTAGGGGGGACTCATAAGCACTGAGAAATGCACCCACAGGAGGGCAACAGTGGAAGAACTCTGAACGTGATGGGGAAACAAAAACATTATATGGACGACAGCATTTTTAGGGGAGCATTCTTATTGTTAAATCTGTATTACATATGCAATGTTGTTTTGCGAATATCTTCTACAATTATGCCAGAGGTTTGCTGCATAGTAATATTAATATTACTAACCAGCATAGCTATTAATTACAGTAGTGTATTAGGTACATGCCCACTTCACTGCATAAATACAGCCAGAGAAGTAATTTATTTCTATCAACGGGCAAGTTTTGTGCAAAGTCCTATTCCTTATAGTTTACAGCAAGCAAGAAATAATAAAATACAGTATTCTTGAGTTTAACTCTTGTAGTCTAAAAACAATCCAGATGCAGGGTTTACCCTAAAAAAACACATACTGTAATTATTGTACTTTGACATATTTACTAAAATTAATGATTCTTCCCTGTAAAGCTTTTCAATAAAATGTTTACATTAAACTATACAGCAAACATATTTTTTTCTTTAAACCAAAATTTACATTGAACTTGGGAAATGCCAGCTTTGGAAGAGCACGATCTTTTTCTTCATATGCCAGATGAACTAGGTTTGCTAGAAGACACAAAGCATAGGAGCCTTCCAGTGTATTAAAAACAATACGTAGATTTTGCTCCGTCTGTACAAACTCCACATCTCTCTCAAATAAATCATTGGTGCGAAACATTTGCAGGGCCTGAAAATTAAAACAAAAACACGGTAAATTATTGTAATAATAAATAATAATAATAATAATAATTAGTAATGGTAATGTCTTCTCATAGACATAATAACATAGAATAAAAACCCACATTTGCGTATACAGTATGTGAACTTTAATAATAATTCAATTACCTCAGGAGCCAGGGTAACCAGGTGATGAACAAGTGCTGGAACACTGAGGATGTGGATGGTGATTAGAGAAAGCAGTTTGTCCGAATACTGGGCTGCCACAAGAGGACGCAGCGCTAGTGTCACCACTGTGGTGACTGCAGGGCCTCGTAGTGCTGTCTTCCCTCGACATAACCCTCGAACCAGCACATGCTGTCAAAGTGGTAAAGGTGGTCATTTATTAGAAATAAAAATTTAAATACAGTAATGAATATGATGTGCTAACTAACAAACCTAGCTGAGTGCCTCCACTGCCAAAATAGAGTTAACCCTTGGTCTGTGCCCCTATTAATACAGTATGAGAATGCCCATGTGGTGGACAATGTTTTTTGTTATCTGGAACGGATTAATCCAATTTACATTATTCCTTATGGGAATTTTTTGGGGTTTTTGCACTTTTTGGCATTCGTCCCGCCTTCAGGAATTAATTAAATTGCTGGTGTTGGTAAATTCTACTTTGGTTCTATCTGTGCCACCTCTTCCTTCCCTTGTGGGTGTGGTATAACTGTCTTCTGTTCCTCCCTTCTGCTTCCAGCTCCAAAACATCCGACAGTTTTGGAGCCTGAGCAGGGTTTAGCTTGGGGGTATAGCACGGACTTCTCCAGTGGTGGCTCCTTTCAATTTGGGCACAAAGACAGTTGCGCTGCCTAGTCCCGCCGAGTTTTCAGGGATTTCTTACTTTCAACTTCCCTTCTTCCAAAACCTTTCCTTTGGAATCCACTTTTCTGTCCCAGGTGGTGGGTGTGGACTTTGGCTCTGCCTTGAAACCTTCCTTTCTGACTTCTGGGACTTAGGTGGATTCCAATAGGGGTCATTGTGTTTCCTTAGACCCCACTTGTCCATTGTCCCTTCCGATGACGGCCATTACCTCAGGAGGGGAAGGGGTTTTCTTACCCTTGCCTCCTTGTATAATTTTTTATTTTTCTCTAGTTCAACCCATGATTCATTTCCATAGACTTTATGGTCTGTCGGATATGTCCTTTCAGAAGGTTTCTTCCAGAAGATCCTCTTTCGGTGGCTCAAGTGGATCTCTTTAAATACTTCCTGTGTGACCTGTAAAGAAAACCAAATCATGCTGCTGGCTCCCAGTAGGTCAGAATGAATCTTTGAGGCTTGGTGTGACTTCTAAGGATTGGCTATACCAGTGCTTAAGCCCCAGGAAGCGGGTATAGCCAATCCTGAGAGGGCCTTCTATAGGATTGGCTATATCAGCTACTGAGGCTACCCCTACTAGATATCAGCTACTATATAGCTACTGAGATGGCCTTCACAGAATTTTATGTTTCATTTTATGTTATGCAGAAAGTAATACTGTCTGCAGGATTACAATAATTGTTTTTTTCCTTATTCGTTGCAGTATAATTTTCTTGAATCTCTTGAAACTCATACACAGCGTACTTACATATATTTTTAGTATCTGAGCACAAGTCAACATTGATATTAGTTAAATTATCTTTTGAATGCAAATATTCCAGATTTTTAATATTTTCTTACTCTCCCTCTATACCTTACAAATCATTAGATAAATAAACAGAGTACTATACTCACATTTAAAGTAGTGTACAAGCCCCGACACACTAAGTCTCCCATGATGTTTTCGGTCAGCTTATTAAGTGCTGGTCTGAGCGGTTCAAAGCTCTGCATGCGTACGATCCTCCAGGTGTTGGTCGCAGTAAAGGCAAGGAGGAGGTGCAGGTATAAGGATATCAGGCGATTCTCTGAAGATACTTCTGCCTGCAAACTTTCCAGTACTTTGCAGGCGATGAAGAGAACCTGTCAGATACCAACCTCATACAGTATAAACACACAGAAATGTGCACACACACACACACACACACACACACACACACACATTGTAGAGTACCAGTATATGAATAAAATGTATCAACTTCAACATGTATTGATAATAAACATAATGTGTATGTTAAAACTACTTTACCATTACCAGTGAAGCAAACCATGTAAAATGTTAATGAAATTTAACATTTAAATTTAATGTTTGATACAGTCTTAATTACACACTATTAGTGGAATATTCAAACGTCAATACTAACTAATCTTTAACAGGAACCTTGCAACTCATAGGCTCTGGCACCAACACATTAATTTGGGTTCAACAATGTGTGAACATCAATTTGCACTATGGCTTGTTATCCAATAATGATAATGATTACAGGTATTATTATAATTAATGATGAAGTTAATAGAGAAGGACTCTGGAAAGTGACGAGCGTACGGAGTTTGCCGAGTTCTGTTAAATGCTGTGAAAAGCCTTCATGTTGGGAGGAGTCCATACACGAGGCAACCACAGTAACGTGACATAGCCATGAGAAAAATCATCGAAGCAGGACAGGGATCAAACCAGCATCCTGGATAACCCTATGCATGTGCCTTAACTCACTGACCACAACTATGACAGTTATGGTACATGGGTTAAGGTAAATGTCTGGCGTTACCCAGGGACAGCAGGGCAACACAGCCTGGGGACAGCAGGGCAACACAGCCCAGGGACAGCAGGACAACACAGCCCAGGGACAGCAGGGCAACACAGCCCGGGGACAGCAGGGCAACAGCCCGGGGACAGCAGGGCAACACAGCCCAGGGACAGCAGGACAACACAGCCCAGGGATAGCAGGACAACACAGCCCAGGGATAGCAGGGCAACACAGCCTGGGGACAGTAGGGCAACACAGCCCGAGGAGGGTGAGGAAGCTCAAATGTGAACAAAGCCTCAAACCCCACAATATGGATCAAAGGTCAGTGGCAACCTCAAATGTCGCCTCTTGGATTTGATCATCATAACAAAGGTCCAGGAAATTCATGGGAACTGCCATGCATTTACATTATAAATCTGTCTCTAAAGATTAGTTGAGTAAATTCTAGTAGCTAAAGATAATCAAGTTTTAAAATATACAGTTGTAGGCCTCCACCATCACAGCAAGCTACCCTAAGCTTGGAGTCAAATCTTGTTAAGTTAATTTGATGAGCAATGATTATTATCTTTCATATTACAGTACTATTCATTAGCAGGACTCTACAATGTGCACTCAAAGTGGGATGACAAGGGGTGGGACTATCCTGGGAGCTTATCATAACTTTCCAAGTATTGTACAATAATATTGTACTGTAAAAGGGCAATTTACAGTTGGCCAAGGAACCATTATTATTTATGATGATAAAAATACAAAAATAACAAAGAATTTGTTTACAAGTAAAAACATAAATACACACTTACACATTTCATATGATGAATCCAATGTAAAGTGAGATCCTTATTTATTCCACAAGAGACGTAACTTTGCTGCAAGTTTTCACTGTCCATGCTGGCCAACAAATACCTAAAAAAACAAAAACAAAAAATGTAAGTAGTTTATCTTTAATATTTTTATTAAACAGTTTTCCATCTGAAGTATTAGTAGTACATAAAAAAAATTGTGGGGAAGGTAGGATTTGGTACCATTCTTAACTAAATATGATCAACAAAAGCAGATTTTGTCATCAGCAAAATAATCTAAGCCAACATTAATTTAAAATGGTTAGCATTAAATAGTGTATAGATTGCAATTTAAGATTTAAGATCTTTAAGAAATCATTTAATGAGAGGACAATGATGGTGAATTTGATGGTAGTGAATTTCAGATTCCAGTTTAGGACTGTGGGTTAAGTTATGCTGCATGTTTAGAGATTTGCCTCGTGGGTGGCAGAATGCCAGCTATGTAAACAATCTTTTTGCTTGTAATTTCCTCAGTAATAACCTAAGTGTAGTTACAGAATGAGAGTTATGCTCACAGTGCCCCGTCTTCCCAACAATCTGCCATATAACACTTCAGAGACAGGTGAAGGTGGCTTTCACCACCTTCACACTTAACGTGTTCCAACCATCTACCACTCTGTGAAAGCGGATTTTCTTTTGAACTGTCATACCCACTTCCATGGAAATAAACATTCCATTCACCTGGGCTCTAGGAGACTCGAACCACGGACCCCATACGTGTGAGCCCGAAGCTCTATTGACCGAGATACTGAGTACTCTTAACACTTCCATATGGCAGCGACGCATGTTGCGTCCATAAATAACTTTATGGATGTGTGGTACAGACGCATCGGTGCGTCCAAAGTTAAAATATTTGTTAAAATTCAAGTTTTTAAAATGTGTGCCAAAGTCTTCCCATTTTCTGTGTGACCGAAATGAAAGACGTAGCACGAAAATTGAGGCGACAAAGGTGAAAAGAGTATACATATTTTATTGCTCTTGCACGCTCACGGGTAATGCTTGGCCGATTTCTGGATTTGGTGCGGGTGGCACGTCAGGCTTTTGGTCTTTATATGCATACAGTCCTGTAGGGAATTCTATTGCAAATATTTTGATACCAAAATGAACAACGTACAACGAAAATTGAGGTAATGCAACTGAAAAGAGTATACAGCACATATTTCAGTGTTGCCGCGCGCTCACGGGAAACGCTCGGGCCACCTTAGGATAGTCTGGTGAGCGCTCGCCTAGAACACAAAAGTGTCAATAAGGAATGTTTCCAGAAGCAGCAGCCTGCTGCCAAACTGGAATTTTCTAATTTCCCTGACTACTACCGAAGCTCAGAGGAATTAGTGATCCGAACCCACATCATATAAATGACGTTAATTTAGTCTAAATCTATGACCGCTTGTTCTTGAAGTTTCAGGTCTCAAGAATTCTTTATAATTTTTTTTAATTCTGGTTACTATTTTGTATGTAGTGCTCATATCGCTGCATTATCTTCTATCTTCTAGTTTGGCATATTTAATGCCTCTAACCTCTCCTCGTAGCTCTTATCTTTCAATTCCAGAAGCCATTTAGTTGCATGTCTTGGCATTTTTTCCACTTTGTTGATGTGCATCTTAAGATATGGGCATCATACAACCCATGCATATTCTGGCTTTGGTCTCACAAGGGTTGTGAAAAATGTCTTTAATATTTTGCCATCCGTGTATTTAAAAGCAATTCTGAAGTTGGAAAGTGTAGCATAGGCTCCTTGCATAATGTTCTTTATATGGTCTTCAGGTGATAGTTTTCTATTCAGGGCCACCCCTGGATCTCTTTCTTTATCAGAGTTCTTTAACAAACTTAGGTACACACAACAATGTGCTGCTACTCTATCCTATATAAGGGATAACAGATTATAGATCAAGAGCTAACTATGAGTTTATCTAATATCCCCACCTCGTAGGATGGTTAGTAATATCAGGAGAAAGTACAAGATATGAATCGAGTGTATGAAGTACAGTACAGTAGTTACAAAGCCCAAAGTATCTTGTGCCATTTGGTAAAAATTTGTTGATAAAAGGGCACTCGCAAATATAATGCTGGAGAACCCTGCTCTTGTCCATAGTTTACAGTTAGTGCTCACTGTTATGAGATTCATTACCTGCAGCCACCTGCCTTAAGTATTGACATCCCAGCCTAATTCTGGCATATAACAAAATAAGTGTATGGATCAGCACTTGGTTGATGGAATTTAATGTGAATAAATGCCATGTTTATAGAATATGGAATAGGAGAATAGGCTACACACAACATACAAATTAAGTAACAAGGCTTTAATAGAAAAAAAAGCTTCCATGCTGTATAAACCAAAATGTTAAAGCATAAAATTGTTCAGTCTGAAATGATTAAAGCAGAACCTAATTTCAGTATCTTAGGTGAGAAGGTCTGATATAATCACTGCCTTGTAACTAAGATAAATTGTTCCCCCCTAGCTACCCTCAGTTCATGTGACTTAATCTTTGTATAAATTTTTGGTCCCTATACATACTTTGTGTACACTGAAAGACTCAACACTGTACAAAGATGAAAAGATACAGTAGTGAATAGTTTTGATTTATGTTTGTGTGTCCATATAGGTTCCCTTGTGACCACTGCTTAAGAGTTCTTAATGCTTTAATGATCCTTTCATTTTATTGCTTAAAATCGAAGAAGTATATTTACCGAGTAAATATTTCAAATCTCTTCTGATCTTTCTCCAGATTAAATATCTTAATGAAGTGTGCGACTTGCTGGAAGACCTCCAGGGCAGGAGGTAATGCAGGCGTTTGGTCCAAGGGTACTACATCATGGCCAAACAACTCGTCGAATTTATCCCTGAAAGATTCCACCCTTACAATACCACAATCACATTTTATAATAATAATTACAAGTAATGTTGTCTATAATGCAATTACATATATTGTACAGTATTTTCTTTATATTTTACTCATATTTGCCACAGCCTTGATTATCCAAGCTGGTGAATAATTAAGTACATAACTTGTATTGGAAAAGCTAGAAGGATAGCATGGGATACCTTTAATAAGAGTGAATACCAAAATACCATTAAATAATAGGATCAAACTCCTCAATAGCTCAGTTATCAATAATATTAATCCTTGCATGATGCAGCTGGTATCACTGCAGTGACTTCTTTAACAATAAGAAATACTGAAAAGAGTAGGAGATTAAAAGAAAAGCAGAGGTTTGGGTGCAGATGTACGTAAATCACTATACTTCTTGTATTGGCTGCAATAAAATATACAAGTAGAAGAAACTATTAGAGGTATTGAGAAAAAGCCAGCACTGAATGTAATGAAATGCCCTTTTCTGGTGTATCCTTAGTGGCTCTTTAGTGGTTGCTATTTGGCAAACTTCACTCAATTCAATCTAGCCAGGCCTTTACGACTCTCATACAAGTTTACCAGGGATCAGAAGCCAAAACCTGGTCAGCCCCCCCTCTCCCCATCTAAAGGGGCACAAGGAGCAGGGAATCTTAGATCACCCTAACCAAGAAAAGGCCACCCAAAAGATGCAAGCCACAACATACAAACAGCAAAGTAAACAAAGAACAGAAAATGAGATGCCAAATCCCTGAATCTCCCCAGTCATGAAGCAGGTCTCCCACTAGTTTCAAGTGCACACTACCAGGAGAATGCACACCTTCCTCCTCATTCCCCTAGCCTTAAACCTTAGTCATTTGACCAGGAAGCTAGAAAACCGAAGCCCTGAACGGGGAAAAGGATTGCTCCAAAGAGTCACCAAGAACCCACCAGAGAGAGAGAGAGAGAGAGAGAGGCATTTTATTATATTCAACACTAGTTTTCTGGAAGGTCTCCTAAAGTGGCTCCTTGGTGCTATGTCAGTATGGAGAAAAAACAAAAGGAGTATGCACCAGTGGCAAAGGAGAGCCACAGAAAATACCATCCAATAAAGAGGGAGCTCATAACTGCAGTAGTTAACTATTCCAAAGCAACACAAGCCTGGCATGAACAAAAATGTTCACTAAGTAATGAGCTGCCAGCACACTGTTTGACTCACAACCCCTCCCCCCCCCCCCAAGGCCTGAATACCTGCCCAAGACATTAAAAAATCCATGGCCAGAGCCACAAACATACAAACAGCATGGGCCCAAGGACAGACTGCCAGCTGGAAAATGTAAAAAAAATGCGGAATTTCTATAAGGGTGTTGTCACGATAATCTCCTTCGTAGGCAAGGAGATCGTGCCTATTCCTTTACTGCCTATTCAACAACATATCTGCATACTCAAGTATAAGAAATTAACATCAAGAACAACAACAATACGTGCTCAGAGCTTTCAGTGTCTAGACAGATACCACTCCTCTCTACTCTCCAGTACCCATGACCCCGACACACCTGGACATCTGGAGGCCCAACTACACTCGCCAGCCAAACTGCTCGTTTGAGACAGCTGGCTGGCAATTACCTGCACACCAGTGCCACCTACAACTGGACCTGTCCATGTATAAAATGAGCTCACCACCAGCCACATGTCAGAATACTCTTCAGTGCTCCAAGCTGCATATCTACTCTCACTCCCCTGGGTGTCAGTAGACTCACGCAGCTTATGTATACAGTATTGTATTTGCACCTTTATTTTGCTATTAACATAACTGTAACTTTTTTTTTTTTTTGCATATTATGTTCTGTATCGCCAAGTCGTATAGGGGAATTGTTTTATTAAATGATAGTCCTTTTTTATTATATTAAAGATTTAAGTTTTTTCATTCTTTATACTTTACCCGCAATTTTCACACTGTAAAGAGATATAGCAGAAAAAGCAGTTTTATTTACTTTGTTTTACATTTTTATTTAATGTTATTGGCATTCCACCAGCCAGAATAGCCACTGCTCTATTTATACACTTTTCCGTAACATTGAATATAACTAAATATTGAAGTTACTACATCAGAAGCAATACACAAAAACTGCCTCACCTTATCTTTTGATCTCGTGAGCACCGCACAAGCCAGCCACGAATAGTGGCCTGTATCTTAATGGCAGCCTCATCACGTCTTCTTTCAGCAGCCCGCTCTTCTCTGGCTTCTCTGGTTGCCTCCAGAAATGCTCCTCGATTGGAACTATTTGTCCCAAACATCTTGGATTTGGTGGCCTGCTAGGACAGACCCATCTACAAAGAATAACTAAATAAATATGTATTGTTTGAAAATGTTATGGTAATAAAAGAGATATCTGTGATCTCCTCTTCCAGTACAATCAAGGAAATATCTGTGGTCTTCACTCCCAGGACAATCAAAGATATCTGGTCTCTCCCAGGACAATGTATAGCTCATAAAATAAATGCCACCTCTCTATTCTTCCTTACCCCTCCTCCGCTTCTTCACTCCCTTACATCAGCACTTTTATGCCCTTTCACCTGTACTCTATATATAACATTAATATATACTGCATAGCACATAGTACAGTACAACTTTGATCCAATGGATCATGCTAGAACAGTAAACTTGAGGAGAACAGAGAGCATTGACTACCAGAACGAGTCTAAATATAACAATATATTATATTGTATTATTACAGTATAGCAGACACAACATTTGCATCAAATGTCCCTCTGAGAAAGATAAGAAAAATTCAGCATTGAAAGTAATGAAATGCCTCTTTTTGGTTAGTGCTTTTGTGGCTACCTGATAACCGTCAATCCTTAGTACCCCTCCAGGCTCTAACAAATCACAAGTGCTTACTGAAGATCAGGACAAGAATTAGGCCCCCCTTTAAAGACAAGGGTAGTCTGAAGGTACATTACTACAAAAGAACTGCAGGAAAACCACCAGAACAGTAGAATACACCAAAACAAGCAACATTTGCAACTTTTATTTGAACTATGTATACTTTTACACTCATTATCTAGGCCCAACTGCTAGTTAGCGACACTCACTTGCCACCATATGGCAGCCTCAATGACTTGAGGGTCTCAACCAGCCATCCACGTCATTCACACGTTGTTTATTCTTAGATTAATTTCATTTGAGGATTTATTACCAAACAAAATATAGAAAGTTTTGTCAATGTTAAGGGTGAGTTTGTTGGCAGTTAGCCAAAGATGGACTTTATTTAGTTCAGTATTCACAGTGACATTTAGAACAAGTGGATCAGGATTGGAGAAAATGAAACTTGTGTCATCAGCAAATAAGATTGGTTTGAGGTGTTGAGAGGCATTTGGAAGATCGTTAATGTAGATGAGAAAGAGGAGAGGGGCTAAGTATGCTGCCCTGTGGAACACCAATGTTTATGGGTAGTGTAGGAGAAATGGAATTATTCCCAGAGACATACTGGAGCCTGCCAGTAAGGTAAGAGTGAAGTAAGTAAGTAATTATCAAAAAGCAGGCACCAAACCGGGAAGGTTATAAGGTAAGCCTGAAGGTATTGCAGGAAGTGACCTCTGACTCCATAATGATGTAATTTAAGAGGAAGGTTTTGGTGGTTGACAGTGTCAAAAGCCTTACGCAGGTCCACAAATAACCCAACAGGGAATTCATTTTTATCAAGAGCTGTATGTATCAAGTTAATCATACTAATAAGTGCATCATTAGTGCTTTTATTGGGTCTGAAACCATATTGGCAAGAGCTAAGTATATTGAGTTTGGCTAGATATGAGTAAAGCTGCTTGTAGATTAGCTTCTCAAATATTTTAGATAAGGTTGGCAGAATTGATATAGGTCTGTAATTGTTGACATCAGTGAGATCACCACATTTGTGGACTGGGGTTACTCTCACTTTTTTTAGAATATCTGGAAAGGTTTGGAGTTCAAGTGATTTGTTGAAGAGCAATGCAATGGCAGGAGCTAGAAATCTGGAGGCTTTTTCGTAAATTAGAGATGGTATCTCATCAAGGGCGCTTGACTTAGTTTTAAGGGAAAGGATTACCTCATTAACATCAGAGAAAGTAGCGGGAGCTAGGTACAGAGATTCTGGATAGTTACCTGTAAGGTAGTCTTTAATATTAGTGAGTGAGGATGGAATATCATGAGCAAGGGATTTACCAATGGATGTAAAGAACCTATTGAATTCAATAGCAGTGTCTGAGGTCGAAAACACACCATCGTCATTAGATAGAAAAATTGTTTTTTTTTATTCAAAATCTTTTTTGAACTTAATATTTGGTAGATAGTGCTCCATGTTTTATTAATGTTACCCTTAATTTGGGTAAATTTATTTTCGTAGTATTTTATTTTGGCTCTTCTAATTATTTTAGACAGCATGCATGAGTAAGTCTTTGAAAATTCTTTGGAGACGACTCCTAACCGATACTGTACTTCTTTTCAAGGTCATGTTTTTTATTAATAGATTTAAGTATACCCTTTGTAAGCCATGGAGTGTTTAACCTTTTATTTATAACTTGTTTCGTTAGCATTGGACAGTGGGAGTTATAAAGGTTCAGAGTTTTCTAAGGAAATGTTTGCACTGCACAAATATTTGTACACGTTTACACAAATATAGAAAGTATACCGACCATTTTTGAGACACTTTTGGTTGTGTGTTGTATATGGGTGCTGAAGTTGATTCTCTTGTCTATGTATATGCCAAGGAACTTTCCATCATTTTTATTGCATTGTCTATCTGAAGCTGAATTGCATTTGTTGATTTTCTTCCAAATAAAATGTAGTAGGTCTTTTCTATGTTTAGTGTGAGCTTGTTGGTTGACATCCATGAGTGGACTTTTTGTTTAATTTTTTATTTACAACATTATTTAGTGTGAGGGTTGGGGTCTGAGTAGATGAAGGTAGTATCGTCAGCAAATAGTATAGGTTTAAGAATGTTATTCATTATTCTTTAGTTTGTTAGAGACGTTAGGGAGAGCATTGATGTATACAAGAAATAGGAGAGGTCCTAGGATGCTGCCCTGTGGCACTCCTACAGTTAATGGTAGAGTGGGGGAGGTTATATCATTGATGGCTACATATTGGTGTCTGTCACTAAGATAGGACCAAATACAGTTCAGGGCAAGGCCTTGGATTCCATAATGGTGAAGTTTAATTAAGATGTATATTTATGGTTAACAGTATCAAAGGCCTTTCTCAGGTCAATGAAGAAATTAATGCTATGAATGCCTTAGCTGCTGAGGGACATTAACTAGGTATTCAGCCAGTAAAACATGATTAAACTGCCAGAACCCATGACACCAAATGTCTGACTTGAGTATATCACAAAGAAGGCATACAGTGTGGACCTTCCTGCAAAACACCACACACATCCAGACCCTGGAACAAAGGACCAAAGATATTGAAGTAATAAACAAGACAGGTACCTGAGCCCTGCAGGTGGTACACAGGTAGCAGCACACCGCAGCCACTGGACAGATAACACGAAAACGGAGATGATTACACTGGTGAAGATGAATGCCTTAAGTACTAATATTGGGGAAAGTGGTTACCACAAGATACAGTGTGAGTTTGAAGCACAAGGTAGGAAACTATAATGATGAAATTAGGCACTTTTTGGTTTTACTTTGAATA